TCCCTCCTGGGACCCAGTGGAGGCTGAGGCGACCGGTTTACGGACTTCGTCAGGCTCCTCGTGAGTGGCACGACACCCTGCGTTCTACCCTGTCTGACCTTGGGTTCCAGCCGTCTTCTGCTGACCCGTCGCTGTTCGTTCGTCGTGGCCCCACACCTTTCTTTGTTCTGGTCTACGTTGACGACCTTGTTTTCGCCACCCCTGACAGGGTTGCTTTGGCACACGTGAAGTCCGAACTGCAGAAGAGACACACCTGCACTGATCTTGGTGAGCTGCGCCACTACCTTGGCCTGCAGATCACCAGGGACAGAGCTGCTCGCACCATTACACTTTCACAGTCGCACATGGTGCAGCAGGTCCTTCAGCGGTTCGGGCTTCAGCACTCCACAGTACAACGCACACCTCTTGCTGTTGACCACAGACTCACTGGACCCTTTCCTGACGAGCCGTTCGAGCCTAGTGGTCCCTACGCAGAGCTTGTGGGTTGCCTCATGTACCTGATGACTTGTACTCGCCCGGACCTCGCCTTCCCTCTCAGCGTTCTTGCGCGCTTTGTTGCGCCAGGGAGACACCGTCCTGTTCACTGGACAGCAGCTGTGAGGGTGGCGAAGTACCTAGCGACGACGTCAGGCGTGGGGCTAGTTCTTGGAGGGCAGCAGTCTGTCGTACTTACTGGTCACTGTGACTCCTCTTACGCTGACGACGCTGAGACTCACAGGTCTACTCAGGGGTACTGTTTCAGCCTGGGTTCTGGAGCTGTTTCCTGGCGGTCCACACGCTCCTCTTCGGTCTCGACCTCTACAGCTGAGGCTGAGATCTACGCTGGTGCCATGGCGGCACAGGAGCTGCGTTGGTTGACCTTCTTGCTCACCGACCTTGGTGAGCGGCCGAGCTCTGCACCGACCTTGTTCACTGACAACAAGGCGTCTATTCTCCTTTGTCGAGAGCCACGACTGGAGAGCAGAGTGAAGCACATTCACGTCAGGTACTTTCTTCTGCGAGAGTTGCAGAGGCGTGGACAGGCTCGCTTTGAGTTTGTGGAGTCCGAGGCCAACACTGCAGACATCTTCACCAAGGCGCTTCCGCCTTGTGACCACCAGAGGTGCTGTGTGCAGCTAGGCCTTGTTGACACTGGTTCTCGTGTTGCTTAGACTTGAGTGTACTGTTTACTTTGCTTTCTATATACCTCTGTTACTTCTTGGACTGGCCTTGTGGCCACTGTTGTTTGTGCTCAGACTGTGTGGTGACGTTGTGATCCACCCTGAGCTTCGTTTCTTGGACTGGTCTTGTGACCGTACTCGTTTGGTTCTGCTAGACACCCCTCACTTAGGCTATGGGGGTGTGTCAAATGTTGTAGCCTATAGTGAGGTTTGTCTTAGGGGGTACAAAACTTAGGGTTAGCTATATGTACCCCAACCAACATCAATGCATCCATTCCTCATTCTGACAAGTACTGTTTGTTCTGTTGGCGAACATGAAGTCTTTGTTATCTAATGAATGTGTAAAGATATCTCAGCCTACCGCATCAGGCACACCAACCACCACCAGTAGCACACCACCTTGGAAGCTGTAGGCAGGCGTCATTTCTGTCAAGATGACCTGCTGCTGGTCAAACTAGACCACCCAGTGCAAATATATTCGTTGTAGGTATCAATGCTACAGTTATCCTAACAGAACCAGACAAGACTTGACCCCACAACAGCAAAAAGGAGCAGTAATTAGGGTTTCAAATAGCTTGAATAAGCAGCTGACACGACATGACAACGCAGATCCATGGACAAGGACTATACTAGGAAGAGTTAACCAATTCCTCTTCAGTCAAGTCAAGCAAAAAAGCAACAGGGGCAGCATCCTGGCAGCAACTAGCAAGCCTGTCTCGCTTTCTCACGCCACAGGCTACCAGAGACTCACTGCAGGAAATTCACCAGGCGCAGCGACACTGCAGAAGGGGACTTGGCGGGTGAGCGAGCAGCTTTATCCACCTTCTTCCGCCCAGAAGCGGTCATCTGAGACGGGCTCGTGTCTGCAGTTGCCATGAGCATGCGCATGTTGATCGGCCCCGGCTTAGTCCCAGGCTTGAGCGCACTTCCTTTGGGGCGAGAAGCAGGTGGTGTGCGCACAGCAGGAGGAGGCACCGGGCCTCCCTTATACATCTCCAGATTGCGGCTCAGAACGAATTTCACCTTTTTCTTCCGCTTCCCCTCGGCGCCGCCGGCCTTGCCTGCCGGGGCTGATTGCACACCAACTGCCGCAGCGTCTGTTCTCCCGTCCTTGGATCGGGTTACCGGACCTCCTCCAGCATCACCCTCTGCTGCTGACGTGGCAGCAGCAGCGGCGGCTTCACCAGCAGCCATGATCCTAGCACCCACGCTCCCGGCCCCTGTGGCGAGATCCTGGGGGAAATCAAAGGATGATGAGAAGGCGTCTATGATGTCTTTTTCCGGCGTGCGGAACCCGTCTGCTTCCTCCTCGTCTGCTGCCCCGCCACCGCCCGGCCCTTCTGTCTTGGCGTTTATGGACAGATGCGGGTGCACCAGCACTGATCGTAGGGTAGCTGTTGCGACAGTGGGGATAGGCTCTGCTGCTACTGCTGCGGATGCGTCTGCTGCGTCTGCTGCTGTTGCGTGTCCCTGAACCGTCTGTTGCCCCGCCTTCTGAACACTATCTGAGTGTACAAATGTCGGCGGGGCTGTTTCTGCGTCCTTCGTCATGACATCCTTCTTTCCCTTGCGCTTCTTGCCCGAACCGCTGCCCTCCTGCAGCTGCTGTTCCGGCTGCTGCTGCGCCTGCTGCTGCCGTCTCTTGCGCTTGGAGGTGGAATTTGGCTGTTTCTCACCACCCGCATCAGCAGACCCAGCCACGACTCCGTTACTTACACTCCCGCTGGGTTCGTCCGCTTCCTCCTCACCATGCTCCCCACAATCATCTTCCCGCTGTTCCACTTCAGCTTCAGCGTCCTGCTCTTCCCCGTCCTCCTCTTCTCCGTCCTCCGCTTCCTCTTCCTCTGCTTCCCCTTCCTCCTCTTCCCCTTCGTCCTCTTCCCCTTCCTCCGCTTCTCCTTCATCCTCTTCCCCGTCTTCCTCTTCCCCTGAACCCTCCCCTGAACCCTGTCCCCCTGCTTCATCCCCCTCCTCTTCCCCTTCCATCTCTTCTCCCTCACCATCAGCGCCGTCCCTTCCACCAGCAGCACCGTCCTCCTCTAAACCCTGCATATCATCACCATCTTCCTCCTCCCCATTTTCCCCTGCTTCCGCAGCATCACTGCCAGACAGCTCGTTTATCAACGCCGCGAAAATCGCCTCCCCTTTCCGGAGCATGCTTTTCTTTTTCCCCTTCGCCGCGCCGTGCGCTGCGTTGAGATCACCAGACATCTCGCGCGCCGCTTCTTGAAGCGCAGCGACGTACGAAGCTTCGCTCGCGTTTGCCTTCGCTTCGTTCCGTAGATATTCCGCAAGTCCCGAAAACACGGAGCTGAGAGCTCGCTTGTGCAACCGTCCGTCCTCCTTCGTTTGAATCACACCCACGACCGGCCGAGTGAATTGCAGAACAGATTTCACCACTCTGACGTCACCCCCTCCAGACTTTTTAAAGAGCTCGTGAAAAATGTCCAGTATATGCAGCTCGAGACCGATCGCACGATATTTGTCCTTAGCAAAAAGCCCTTGTTGCATGACGCAACCAGCAAGATCGGAAACCACCTGTTCCTCCCAATCCCGTTTCTCCAAATACTCGAGAATATTCCGCATGACCAGGCGGACGAGCAAATAGAATTTATCCAGGCGATGATAGTCGATTCCCCCCCATTCCCGTCGCATCGTCTTCCAAAAGGTTCGTAGAAACAGCAGCGCGAGGTCAGGATCGAGAGAGATCAGAATACCAGACATTCTCTCCGCGAGGTTCGCCTGAACTGGCGGTTTGTCCGAATGCCACATGCAGTAGAACAGGCCTTTCCAGATTTTCAGGAGGTCTTCTTCGGCGATTTCTTTGCGAGCGACCAGCCATCGCGACAATACCTCGAAAGCCTGGTCCCTCGTCGCCTCGTCGCTCGCCGCTAGTCGTCGCATGAACTTCGACTTGACGGAAACCTCATCCTTGGCTGATTTTGAAACCATGGCTATGTCCGGAGCTAAGCCGGGCATTCCAGGCTCTGCTGCCTGTTACACCACCCAAAAGTCTCGCCTAGGAACAAGGGGCGTGATAAGGAGAGTGTGATAAAGGAATAAGGAGACTTATTGCTGATCCGCCTGACAACTGGAGAAACTCCTAACTTTTCCTCTTGAAGCAATCCAAGGTTTCCCAGAAGGGCAACTTCGAGGTTTCTTTGCATTGTTGGAGGTTTTGCGAATCGCAGATCGAAGCTGTCCCGGTCAGAGAAACACTTATTCCGTTTGTTTTCTACAATAGGCTGTTTCTCAAGTTGGCGGAGATAGAAATTGTTTACATCCTTCTCTGGTGTGACAAGTGGTCAGACATGGGTGAAGATCTTGGAAAAATTTGGTTGGGGTGACAGAAGACGTCTGATTACGTGGTTAGAGAATTCTGGAATTTCACTGTCCTGCCCTGGGCGCGGGAAGTGATCCGTTTGGCTCAGAACTTGTCCACGGTTCCGGAATTTGAGGAATAATAACTTGCGCTTTCCATGTAAGCCACCAACCCCACAAGTTTCTCCCGTTGTACTTCGTACAGAAATTTGAATCTTGCTTTACCCAACTTGGTCTCTATCCAGAACTGGCATTCATATACACAGAAACGAGTCAGTTTTTGTGCGACCTGGAATTCCCTAGACTCACAGCAAAAGTCGACCTCTCGCCCTACAAACCATTTTCACCTAGAAGAATCTAGATAGATTTTCCAACTTCATCTACTAGCCTAAACCTGATGAAGCAACTTTAGGCCTCTAGCTCTAGTTGCTTATCCTACTGCGCTTACGCCTACGGTCGCTTGCGGTCAACATCTTCGGCTCTGGTTTGTTGCGGTCGTAGTGGGGTGAGGGGAGAAAGATGGCGGATTCCCAGGCCTGCTTGCTTCTGAAGAAGCAACTGAGAGGTGATTAACCAACGGATTGCGTTCCCGTGAAGCTACGTTATATCGGTCGACGTGAAACAGCTCTGTTGAATCTTCTGTGAGCGATGAAGCATGTCGTTTGTTTCCGTACTTGGTCGTTTCCGTAATCCTTCCCGCAGATTTGCTCAAGAATCCAGTTGACGGGTTCTCTGCGGGTCTCGTGGACGATTCTAATCTTTTCGAGTGGCAAGTCACGATCATCGGTCCGCCGGATACCCTCTAGTACGTGTTTTCCGAATTCTCATTGTTAAGCCTTTCCTGCTTCTCCGCGATAAGGAGCAGACCGGTACATATTTTATTCATGGATGCTTTTTTGGTTTGGCAGTGAAGGTGGATTCTTCAATGCAATCATGAGCTTTCCGAATAACTACCCCAACAGCCCACCGCAAGTCCGCTTCACCTCGGAAATGTGGCATCCAAACGGTGAGTTTTCGTTGTATGAAACCTGTGAGTCTCCGTTGTATGGAAGAGATCAGTCCCGATTGTGTCGTTTTATCGTAAAGTGCCATAGTCGATGGCAACCTCACATCGCGTGTTTGTTTGACAAAATAGTGCATTTAGGGGCTGCGCTTGTGACCTGGCTAGACTTCGTAAAGCTCCTGCTTGTGCTCGTCGGTATTGGGAGAATGATGAATGATGCCGTTGGTCCTCCTTGATGGTATGCACTATTCGTTCGTCTCCGTGGCAGTCTACCCCGACGGCCGGGTTTGCATATCGATTCTGCACGCACCTGGCGACGACCCAAATGGATACGAGCTGGCAAGCGAACGCTGGTCGCCCGTGCATACTGTAAGTCAACTCTTTTGTCTCCCTGGCACACAGTAAGCTCCTACACCTATCCCGTTGAGTCAGATTCGTGTGTTCCTGTGCACACTGGAAACTCCATTCCAGGGCCGTTGGGTCAACATCGAGAGTTGGAGGCGTATCCTTTCCAGACTTTGTCAGGTTTTGGGGTACTGGGTTATTGGAGGATCGGTCCTCAATACTGGATGCTTGTGATTTTACTTTGCAGGTGGAGACCATTTTGTTGAGCATCATCTCCATGCTTTCAAGCCCCAACGATGAATCGCCTGCTAATATCGACGCAGCGGTGAGCAGTGTGATTCGAGCTGCGCGTTACTGTGTCTTTGTGTTGCTGGGTTGCAGTGTTGCTTTGTTGCTGCGTCACAGAGCAACCATGCCAGCTTGCTACTCACCCAGTGCTCACGCCAGTGGCTTGCCTCCATTTTGTCCTTTCCACATTCTTGCTCACTCTTCTCTCACCATCTTGCCTTTCCCTTGCGCCTAACCTTTCAGCTTATACCTTCTCCCCTCATGCACCTGTTCCCACCTAGTCTTCCCATTCTTCCCCGCTCTTGTTCTCTTTTGTCCCTTTGCATTCCTCACTCCCGTTCGCTCCTTCCCCCATTTACCTGCTAATCGACTGCCGCTTACAGCCTCATGCTTCCCTCCCCTTCACACCCAGTCAGCTCATTGTTCGAAAATAATATATTCTGTCTCCTCTCCCGCCTCCCATATCTTTCCCAAACCCACTTTCCCTCCATCCCAAAGTCACACACGCTCACACGCACTTACATCTTCTCGGTACCCCTTCACTTATGGTTCAACGCCTGAGCTGTGCCCTTGTCCCTTTTGTCCTCTTCCATAGAAAGAGTGGCGGGAGTCACGTGACGTGTTCAAGAAGAAAGTTGGCAGATGTGTAAGAAAATCACAAGAGGAGATGTGACCTTGTGTGGGACATTCATATTGAAGTGTGTAGGCTTGTTGGTTAGGTGAAAGTGTCAGTCTAGAGCCTTTCCCTATTGTTGTAGATTCCATTTTTTTTTAAACTCTTTTTTTTAAGCAGGAAGTATTACGGTAGTTAGGAAACAGTTACGGAAACGGTTATTGTGTCTGGAGAGTGAGTCATTGAACCCTGCTTCTTGAGTGGATTTGTTGGTCTTGTCTAGACCGGGTTTTGTTAATGTCAAATAAGGTACAGTAAAATTCACGATCTAAGAACCGTTCTAAGGTGTACGTGCACTGTGTGTGAGGCAACCCGCTACCTGGCCACTGCCCTTCATACGATGTGTGTGATATCACTTACATCTGTCCTGCACCTAGGCATAGCGGCAATTCATCAATGTGAAGTGGTAGCTTACCAGCAATAGCTGCTATGCAGCATCAGTGCAGGATCAGTCCGAATAAAAATTGTAGTACATTATAGTTTATTGCTTCAAATTAGGTTCATAAGACATGTAGCATACGAAATAATGCTTTAGACAAGGTCTAGGGTGAAATGTAGCGGGGAGAGGTTGCAATGGTCAGAGTCCACGTAGGTGACAGGGTCCGAAGCGCGTTCTCTAGGGGCTTGCTTCTTGCGTTTTGTAGAGGAACACGTGGCCTCTCTTGAGCCCAAGCCTGCTAGCTGGGAACCAGAGAGCCTTCAAAGCTGCCACGTCAGTGTCTGGGTGTGTCCTGTCTCATGCACACCACAACACCATCAAATTTTGTTTGTTTGCCCGTTACACACCGCTGCACGGGTGAGTCAAGCCTCACCACATTACCATTTTCTGCCCGAAACCATCCTTTTGTCGGTCGGATTGCAGTGAGAACGCTTTTTGTGGACTCCGGTCTCTCTCATTGGATAGCACTTGGAGATTGTGTGGGTAAAGAGGCGAGTCGCATTCCTTCGGGCTTGAAGCAAAAGCAACCCCGAGAATATGCTTGGCGGGAGAACAACCCCCTAGGCCTCTCGCATTACGTCATCACCGCCACTACCCGATTGGTCGAGGCGGTTCGCCCAACAGACCTCGAAAGGGGTGAGCCTCCTCCCCTGTTTTGCATAAACAGTTAGTTTCAGCTCTAGTTCTGTAAGGCAGTCTCGATTGTGTGCTTTGGCTTGCTCAGTCAAGCCGTTCCTTCTCTCCAGTATTCTCTCTTCAGTGTTTGCGTCAGAATTTCTGCAGTCATGGCCGCTTCTAACGACTATGGCTCCTTCACTGCCGTCAACCTCGAGCGCGAGCCTTACTGGCCCGAGAAGAAGCTCAGGATCTCCGTCACCGGAGCTGGCGGCTTCATCGGGTCGCACATTGCCCGCCGATTGAAATCGGAGGGCCACTATGTGATCGCGTCGGACTGGAAGAGGAACGAGCACATGACCGAGGACATGTTCTGCGACGAGTTTCATCTCGTCGATCTACGTGTCATGGACAACTGTCTCAAGGTCACCAAGGGAGTGGAGCACGTGTTCAACCTGGCTGCTGACATGGGTGGCATGGGTTTCATCCAGTCGAATCACTCCGTGATTCTGTACAACAACACCATGATCAGCTTCAACATGCTTGAGGCTGCTCGTATTAACGGCATTTCTCGGTAAGGCTTTTAAAATTACATGAAGTTCTCATTTGAACTTGACGAGCTCCACACGTGACGAGGCTGAATTGTTTTCTTGCCGTCAATTCTGCAGCTTCTTCTACGCCTCGAGTGCATGCATCTACCCTGAGTTCCGTCAACTCGAGACCGACAACGTCAACTTGAAAGAATCAGATGCCTGGCCCGCTGAGGTGAGTTTATTGGATTAAATTTTTTATCACACGAGTTTGCATACTAACAAATCGAGTTGGGCGCTTTCTTGGTGGAGGTTATTTGTTCATGTGCAAGATCTGACACGGACATTGTCCCTCTGCAGCCCCAAGACGCGTACGGTCTTGAGAAGCTGGTGACTGAGGAGCTGTGCAAGCACTACACTAAGGACTTCGGCGTCGAGTGCAGAATTGGTCGATTCCACAACATCTACGGTCCCTTCGGCACATGGAAGGGTACGCATCTTTGTATTCTGACGTGTCCCTCCCTTAATTTACTATTTCTACCTCATGGCTGCTCCCTTTGTATTTTAAGCCTGAAAACTTTGGGTCTGACAAAAGATACATTTCTGATGCAGGTGGCCGCGAGAAGGCGCCGGCAGCGTTTTGCCGCAAGGTGCTGACTTCCAAGGATCACTTTGAGATGTGGGGCGATGGCAAGCAGACGAGGTCCTTCACCTTCATCGACGAGTGTGTGGAAGGCGTGCTCAGGTATGTCATCAATTTCTCCTTGCGCTTTCACATAGCTCGAGATTTGCTCAGACCCGTAACTGGTCGTGTCGTAATTCACGTAATTTTTAACGTGCAGTCGAACGAATATAGCCGCTAGTAAAAGATGATAAGAAAATACAAAGTGTTTACCTTACCTACACACTTAGTTTCTGGATTTTCATTTCCTGCGGTGCCTCTAATTCGGACCTCGCCTTGCTCCGTCGTCCTGTCGTACCAGAATACGACCGTACGTGTGCACGCTCGTTTGACACAAGCTCCGCCCTTTCTTGCAATTGCAGGCTGACCAAGTCGGATTTCAGGGAGCCGTTGAACATTGGGAGTGACGAGTGCGTGAGCATGAACGACATGGCGGCGATGGTCATGAGCATTGAGAACAAGGACCTGCCCATCAAGCACATTCCGGGCCCTGAGGGGGTGCGTGGACGCAACTCGGACAACACGCTCATCCGGGAGAAGCTGGGCTGGGCTCCGTCCATGAAGCTCATTGTGAGTGCTCGCTCCACTGCACACTTATCCATTGTGCTCCCGAGTTTTTTCCTGTCTTCCCAGTCCCCAGCCTGTTCTGCCTAAATTAGTGACTCGTACATATAAGGATTCTTCAGAACGTGTGGGGTTTCTCTAAGACTGCTCTAACTGTGCGTATTGGTCAATTTTGCAGGATGGTCTGACAATTACGTACAAGTGGATCACGACACAAATTGAGAAGGAGAAGGCCAAGGGCACTGATGCATCAGAATATGCGTCATCCAAGGTGGTGGGCACATCAGCACCAGTGGAGCTGGGTTCTCTAAGGAAGGCTGATGGGGAGGAGTAAACGAAACGTTTTCCAAAAGCACCTTACTCAAACATAGACTTCAAGATTCATTTCGTCGTAGTGCTCACTCCCAAGTGACCGGTAGCTGCTGCTGTGACGCTGCTGTGCTTTCCCTACATTCTTTGCTTGTGCCCAAGCCCATAGCCTTGCTCCTGTTGTAGCAATTTCTGTAATTTGATCACTCCCAATACAACGTCGTCTTCAAAGCAGGTGTCACGAATGTACTGAGTCAACACTGGTGAGGAGCTTGTGTGGTTTGATCCATGCAAAAAGCTTGAGATTGTTTCCATCAAAACTTGTGAAACGGATCAATTAAAACATGTTAAAAAAAGACCCGCAACAAGCTGCTAAGACTGCCAATTAGAGCTATGAATCTTTTTCCAACAATGCCTGTGAACTAGTTCCTGTCAAAGCTTGTGACATTGTCAAACAAAGCTTTTGGAATTGTTCACATCAACCAATGTCCATCCATCGCATCAAAGCTCTTGAAATACCACCCATGAAAGCTTGTGAGTTTGTTCCTCACCAAGCCTGTGCATTTTGTTCCCCTGGCAGCTTGTGAACGTGTTTCCCTCGAAAGAAAAATTGTTCCCATCAAAGCTTCAGGAACAAGCCTGGGGATGTACCACTAGGAAAGCCTACACCTCTATCTTGTAGGCTCTTATCATCCCCATCACTGACTGTTCCAGCCAGAGTACCCACACGTGGCTCCACTGCTTGCTGCAATTGATGCATGAGCGGTTGCTGCGGTTGCTGCCCCAGCTGCGGTTGCTGTCCTAGCTGCGGTTGCTGTCCTAGCTGCGGTTGCTGTCCTAGCTGCGGTTGCTGTCCTAGCTGCGGTTGCTGTCCTAGCTGCGGTTGCTGTCCTAGCTGCGGTTGCTGCCCTAGCTGCGGTTGCTGTCCTAGCTGCGGTTGCTGTCCTAGCTGCGGTTGCTGTCCTAGCTGCGGTTGCTGTCCTAGCTGCTGCTGCCCCTGCTGCTGTTGCTGCCCCAGCTGCGGTTGCTGTCCTAGCTGTTGTTGCCTGTTCCAAGCAGCCACGCCTTGCTGTTCGGACTGGTCTTGCAGGCAAGTGGCCGCTACAGGTTCTTCTCCCAGCTTCAAGCTAGTGGATGTTGGTGCTTGCGAGGAGGGCTTTTGCGGGGATTCACAGGAGTGGCAAAGCTTCCATATTACTGGTGTATTCTGTTCTCTGCTGCTACCCGGCCCAGTTTGCATCCCTTGCCCGCCTTCCTCCTTTGCCTGTTGATCCCTATTCTGCTGTTGCTGCTGTTGCCCTGCTTGTTGCTGTTGCTGTTGAATTTGCTGCATCTGAAACAGGTCAATAGAAATGTCACCTCTTGGCCACAAGTAAATGTAACAATCTACAAAGAAACATTTTAAAAAAACAGCTGTAAGGCCCCAACCACTCACCGCGAGCCTCTCCCTGAGGCGGTGATTCTCGTCAGCTAGTGTCTGGCAGCGCCGCCTCAAGCCGTCCAGCTCCACCTCAGTATCCTTCACCTTGGTGCGCGCCCTGCGGTTCTGAAACCACACCTCCACCTGCCTCACCCGCACGCCCAGCTGCCCTGCTAATGCGCTCTTTTCCCTGGGAGTGAGCCTCGGGGTTTTTCTGAATACTGCTTCCATTGTGCTCTGCTGCTCCTGTGTTAGCCGCATCTTCCTCTTGTTCCCATTTCCCTCGCCATCTTCCCCTCCTTCCGCCGACTCTGCTTCCCCCTCCTCTCCCCCTTCTGCTCCTCCAGCTCCCTTCTCACCCGCTCCCCCCTGCTCTCCCCTTTCTCCCTTTCCCCCTTCTCCCCCTGCTCCCCTAGGTTCTCTTTCCCCGTCTTCCCCATAGCCCCGCCCCTCTCTCAGTCTTTTCCCTGTACGGACACCTGCAGCAGTTGCACCAAGTGCTGATCCAAGAGCAGTCACATTGGAAGCAGGAGACATGGCAGCAACAGCAGTAGGAGTAGCAGCCATGCTGTTACCAGCAGAAGAGTTATTGCCAGCAGTAGCAGCAGTAGCAGCCACATTCCTGACAGGTCCAGCCTGACTGTTACCAGCGTTGCCGCCAGCAGACCCACCAGCAGCACGAACCGAGGCAGCAGCAAGGATCGCACCGAGCCTCTCCGTCAAGTCTGGATTGAATCCTCCTGCCGTCCTTGCCATACCTACACCCCCAGCCTCTCCCACAGCTGCCACACCTTCTGTCTCCGGCCTCCCTGCTCTCCCGCCTCCCTGCCTCGTACCGACCTCCCAACCTGGAACCCCGATTTCCCTTTCCTCTCTCCAGTTGCCATCTACTGCCCTTCCCACTGCCTTCCCGGATGCAATACCAACTTCCTTATCAACACTACTTGGTCTTTCAGTTCCTATCTGTGTCTGTAAACTTGGCTGCAGGCCTGAATTTGCTGTTGTTGCTGCCGCCGCTGCTGCTGCTGTCACGAGCCCAGGATGGTTTCTGAGAAACTCAAGTCCCCGAGCCCAAACTGCAGGTTCGATTCCTGAAGGTGCTGGCAAATTTTGTACTACATGCGAATTTTGTTGATGCGTTTGTTGTAACGCTGGCCCGGAGTGTAGTTGTTGTGACCCACTCCCGTCACGACCGCTTTCGTCACCTAGATGTGCACCACCCACCGATCTCAACCGATCGAATTCTGTCCCTGCAATAGCATCTGCATTTGCGCGTTTCCCTTCCGCCCCTCCGCCTACAAAATTCGCCCCCCTTGTTTGCGCTGCCGCCATTTCCCCGTCATCGTTATCCATTCCCTTCCCCGTTTCTCTACTACCTACCCGGAGCGCAAAATGTCCCCCCTCTGCGCCAATGGCAAGTTCTCCGTCGCCATTTCCCCCTTCTCCTGGCGATTTCGCACTCATATTTTGCGCGAGCGGCGCTGCGGCAGGTCCTCCCGCGCCCCAGAGCCGCGCCAGCAGCGCGAGGCTTTCCGGAGCCCCTGCATTCAAACCTGGCGTACCCAAAAGCCGCGCCAGCGCAAGCTCTCCTGCGGACCCAGCGCTCGCGTCGGCGAAGGAGGCGGAAGGTGTTGATGTTTGGGGAGCGAGCGGAGCGGAAGGAACTGCGGGTGCGGAGTCTCTGGCAAGGGGAAGAGGGGGAGCGGAGAACGGTGCGGTAGTCGCGGGGGAAGCTCCAGGGAGGGCGGAAAATGCGGGCGCGCCGAGGCTGCGGAGAAACTGCGCAACGGAATCCACCACCACCGCTGCTGCATCGTACGTCAACGGCGCCGTTGGCGGCGGCGCTGGCGGAATGTTGGAGCCGCCTGGCGAATCGGGCGACGCAGAAAAGAGAGCTCGAGCTCCGCTTGGTGCGACAAAAAAAAGCGGCGGTCGCGTAGATGATGCCCGGACTGCGTTATTAGGAGCACGATTTGTCGCCGCACCGCGAATAAGAGACGCGTCGTTTGTCTGACGTGGCGAGAACCGGGCTGCTGTCTCCGCAAGAAGAGACGGGGAAAACGGCCGCGAGCGGAACAGAATCTCCTGTAGCTGGTACTCCTGCAGATGCTCTGGGTGCTGCTGCTGCTGCTGCTGCTGCCGAACCTGTTGAAGAGCCTCGGGGGGAGCTTTGACGGGGCGGTTAGCATCGGCGGTAGTATTATCCAGCGACATTCCCAAGGTGGCCACGACGGAACCTCCCCCTCCAGGCGGCGGACTGCGCGTTCGGCTGCTCGACGTGGGGAACCTTTCCAGCTGCGCGCAGTGCGCGTTCGCCGCCTCTGCCGCCGCCGCTGGCCTCGTGTTTGACGCGCTTCGAGAAAGCACCGCTTCGTGAGCGCCTCGCGAAGTGGCGTCTCGCAAAGAGGCCGCCGCGTCTCCTCTCCTGGAAGCCGCGCCGACGGGCGGCGTCAGCGTGAGGGCCAGGTCCGTCGCCAGTAGATCCCCCGCCGCGTCGGCATTCTCGAGGCGCCTGTTCGCCCCGTCCATTGCGCCTGTGCTGGCTTTGACGACGACTGCGAGTCGCGGTGCCCTCGAAAGCGTTACTGCCGCCGCGACCGCCGCGGCTTAGAAGTACGACCGTGAATAGAGACGTCTGAGGTGTACAAAGGCCAAAAGGAATGCGCGTGGCGGCTACCGTACTATTGCTAGTAGCGTGACTGTTATATGGTGCCACAACGCGAATATAGCTGTCTGCGCGACGCGAATATAGCTGAGTCGTCAGGTCGCTCAGCTAGCGTAACACCACTCAGCTCACCATGCGCCTCATGTGCAGCTACCACACCCCAACCCGCCTGCTGTCACGCGCCGCGCCATCTGCCATCGTTGAGTGAAGCATTATGGCTCTAGCTCGACTGAAAAGCCCTCTTGGGACTCGTGCGAAATGGTCCAGCCGACGCACGTGACGGTGCCTCTACGGGACAAAGCTAAGCCCGGTTCGGAGTTTCTGAATACAGCGATATAGGGGGCGAGGCGCGATGATAAAGGTGAGCGCATGTGCACGATACTGGAGCACGGAAAGTCTAGCACTGTTACGTGGTAGTGATCGCAGGGAGGGAACGATCGATCAAACCTCCCTCACTTGTCGTGCTGGGCACAGTACAAAGGTGATACACAAGCAGCTGCTGCTACCTGGAGTAGCTCATGTGAAAGAATAGATTCCGCAGATCAGGAGAAAAGAGATTAATGAGGGCGGAAGGTTCTTGGAAGTCTCTTTTTTTTAAAGACAAGATCATCTACGATTGCTGTAACAGTGAGTTTGCCGTTCGTCGCGTGATCATCGGGTTGTCGTTGTCGCCTCGCCTAGTTCTAAACTCCAATCACCGCTTACGAAAAGCCAATCAGGGCGCTGTCGTGTGCGTATGTTCGTTACTCGTACATGTATTTGTAACGAATCATCATGAACATGGACGATTATCGGCTCAGTATGCGGTTTATTATGCCCGCGCGATTTACGGAGACCAATGGCTAATGCAATGCAATTCACATCCGGGCCAGGACCGGACTTCCTGCACGGGTCTGCCGAAATGGCAAAACCGTTTTAATCCGTCGGTCGGTAAGGACAAAGGTAAAGTGCCGTGCAGCAGAACTCCGTCGGCTCGGGCCGGACTGGATCTGGCGACTAACGACAGCCGTTACAGCATGTCGCATCGTGTGAGCTCATTTTCGCACGTGCTCTGAGTTGCAATACAGTAGCCAGCAAATCTGGCATTGCTCGTGAAACAACTGTGCTAGGGCACGTGAATTTTCCTCCAACGCAATGAATTGGTTGTGAGGACGAGTAATTTCACGCAAGGATGGGAGGGATGGATGATGAAATTGGAACGGGAGGGGAAGTAAACGAAGCGGCAGTCCACGCTTCGACACGAGGCGTGGCGTGAAGTGGAGGAGCGGGAAATGGTCAATGGCGGTTTCAAATGCCAGACCTTCCAAGGGTTGGAGGGAGGAGCTGATGACGACAAAACCGGCGGGAGTGGAGTGGGATGCTGGCTTCCTTGCAGTGACTTGATCAACCATAGGAAGGAGCAGCACTGCTCGAAAGCAGGAGGAAGCACGGAAAGAAACGAAACAGCCCCCTTTGCTGCTTTGAACAAACGAATTCTCAAAAGAATGAACATTGCCAATATGCCAGCTGTGCTGTGAGCATGTACGGGACACGGGGTCACCACCACGTCCATTGCGGGGATGCCTGACATTCAACTTGCGAACATGTGTTTTGGTCGGACACCGTTCCGAACCGTAAGTTAACCGAGCGAACCGTCCTTTGATCATGGAGCCTCTTTGACATGCCAGTTGTCTAGTGGCTCTTGCCAACTGGTGGGAGGGACAACGCCAGCGAGAGAAACTGTCGAAAATGTAGCCTGTCGAAAATGTCGAAACTGGTCTGGTGTACAGTAAAAGCTGGAAGTCAGCAAGACGGTCGACGTCAGCTTGCGTCATGAGAAGCTTCTTCGAGCCTTACTCTCATAAATGTTTATTTTCCTGCTGGATCAGCAAACATTTTTGCGTGTCGTTACAAGAAAACACAAAATTATTGTACAGTACAACGTGATGCGTTGCCCAGTTCTTGACCTGGCCTTATGGGGCTAAATGCCATCTGCAATAACTTGAGTCATGTATAGGAAACTGCACTCAGTCAATATAATCCAGATATCTCCAACCGTTCCTTTGCAAAAGCTACTTGATTGCAAGAACGGAATGTATACAGGGGAGCAGAAAGATAGCAACACAGCTGTCATTTCTCTTGGAGCCATTTGTTAAGCCTCTCTTGACATTCGCCCTGCACTGCTTTGAACTCCTCCAAAAACCCCTCAACTTCTCCAGCCTTCCCCTTAGAGGCCGTTGGTAAGATTAAGACTACACTTGTGGGTCGCTTTGTTATGGCAGCATTACCCAAGTCCTGGCACACAGAGCACAAAGGAACAGGAACCCGTGAAACAAATATCCAGAAAGGCGATGGTGGAAGGGATAAGCAATGGAGGTGTGGCGGGGGAATAGGAAGGGACAACGGCCCTTGGCTGTACAGATACTAAACAGAATTATCAGAAGTAACAAAAACAGTGGGAACAAGGTTACAAACATACCGCACGGCTGGGCACGTAGGTGTAGGGAATGTTGGCCTCTTCGCACACGATAGGGAGATGCGAGATGACATCGATGGGTGACACGTCTCCTCCCAACACACATACACTGTATGACGAAGCCACAAAAGGGTGGAAAAACAGAAATAACTTTAAAGTTGAGACTTAGGGTCACATCCTCCCTCCATACACACACTGCACTGAATGAAAGCAGCAAGAGTTGATGCTTAGGGCGTATCTTCGGTTCGGGTCATGCACTGTTTGGGGCATCCGAGATTCTTAGAAGACCAATCAGGCGCATTTTAGGTACACTACTCGAACATTGGTTTTCTCATGACCCAAAGTGTACTGATGACCCAAACAGTGCCTTATGACCCGAACCAAAGATACGCCCTTAGTCGAGAGGCACATATACAGGCACCCTGGAGAAACAGCAGCACCGAACATCAGTTAAGGAATGTGAGGCACAAAACAGCAGAACAAACATTAGGTGAGGGGAGGAGCGGAGGGGGGAGGGGGGTGGGAGGGAGCGATGGTGGTGATTCCAACATAAGCGCCCATTCCCCCGATGCATGCAACCGACCTCACCCCTTAGTCCCGGCCCCCCACTTCCTCTTCCCCTCCTCCCCCTTCCCCGTTTGCTCCTCAACCACTCCCCTCTTCTCACCCTCCTTCCCCTTCCCTCCCTCCCACACCTTCCTGGGACGCACCCCTTCTCGCCCTTGCGCACGGCCTTCACTCCTCGCCGCCCCCTTCCCATTTCCTCCTCAACAACCCCCCCTCCTCCCACCTCCCCCCTCCCCCCCTCTTCCTCCCCTCCACCCCTTCTTCCTAGAACTCACCCCTTCTCGCCCTTGCGCACGGCCTTGGCGACCTCCTTCACGCCTCGCCGCAGGTACCCCTTCCCATTTCCCCCACCTCCCCCCCCCCTTCCCTTCAACCACACCCCCCCCTCCTAGAACTCACCCCTTCTCGCCCTTACGCACGGCGTTGGCGACCTCCTTCACGCCTCGCCGCCCCCTTCCCTTCCTCCTCAACAACCCCACATCCCAACCGCCCCCCCCCCCCCCCCCTCCTCGGCCCTCTTCCTCTGAAACTCACCCCTTTTCGCCCTTGCGCACGGCCTTAGCGACCTCCTTGACGCCTCGCCGCAGGTACCCCTTGTGCTTCGCCGCTGCTCGCACCACGCAGCCACGCGGCCGTGCGAAGAAAGGAGGGACGGGGAGAGGGTGGGGGTGGGGCGCACAGAGGGGAAGGCAGAGGGGGATTGGGAGAGAATGGGGGTGGGTGAGAGTGAGGGTGGTGGGTTGAGTGGGAAGGTGGTGCACGCAGCTGCATTTGGGACACACAGGGACACGGCACACGGGGAGGGCATGTCGTTGCCCGGAAAGGTAGGCTGCACATGTCGCGCCCTGCGACAGGGTTTATGGCGCACCCGGCAAACACGTCGTTCACGCGCGCACAGCGGAGCGCACGGCGCACATGGCGCGCACCTTTCTTGACGCGCCGCAGCACTTTCTGGTTGAACGGCGAATCCGCTAGTGCTCGAGGAAACTCAAACACGGGGCCCACACGGGCGCACACCAGCGAGCACGGGCGAACACGGGGCGCACACGGCGGGGCGCATGCGCGCACACGGCGCACGGCGCGCACCTTTTTTGACGAGCTGCAGCACTTTCTGGTTGAACGGCGGGTCCGCCAGCGGCTTCGCGATGGCGCACACGTTCCGCCACTTGAGCGCCGCCGCCGCCGCCGCCGCCGCCGCCGCGTCCTTCTCCCCCTTCCCCCCCTTCTCGCCCCCCTCCTTCTCCTTCTTCTTCAATTTCTTCGGCGTCGCGCCGTCGCTCGCGGCGGCGTCCGACTTTTTCTTCTTCGTCGACCGCTCGCCGCCGCTCGCCGTCGCCGCTTCCGTCGCCGTCGCGTCGCTCTTTTTCCGCTTCGGCGTCTTCTCGACCTCCTCGCCCGCCGCCTCGCTCTTGCTCTTCTTCGGCGTCTTCTCGTCCTTCTTCACCATTCTGGATCTGCTAAAAAGTCTCTCTTACAAAAGTATTTTCCGGTAATAACCACTCCTGCTAAAAAAATGTCGTCGTGTTCTTCTTCCCCGCAAATAAAATAGCCCGGAAGCTCGCTAGACGTGCTTAGAGCGGCGTGCGAGTGGCGCAGGTATCGCTGCTGTGGATGTTTGGGCTACGGAAGGTGCTAGTGCGGGGAAGTGACTGGGGGATCAAACAGGATTAGGGTTTTGTTACGAAGGGCGAGAATTTGCCCCCTTCTCTGCTGCAGAGGAGGGGCTTTTTGGTGACCAGCGAGGAGAAGCTTATCTCCGATACAACCTGGCTTAGTCCGATCGAAGTGGCAATGTACACACAGTGAAACCGAAATAAAAGTCGTAGTTGACCACAAACGAGCAAATACATAGCTAATGAGCGTTGAGGCTAGTAAATTCAAGTCAAATTGAAGCAAATTAATATTGGAAAACATCTGAGCACAAATGAAATTCCTGCTAGTATACCGTACTTAACAAACATGCAAGCTATGGTCCTGAAAAATGCCAATATAATTGTGTCGCACTCTCCCCACCGTCTATTTTCGCCTCGCCAGTGGTCGTTTAGCCCTCACAATTCTCCTCCCAGCAATATTCGAACCTGCCGGTGCCTTCTCCCCTGCATCCAGTGAAAACCCTCCAGGCGTCCCCACGAACCCCCCACCATTCCCAACCGCACCAAATCCCCCAAATGGAGAAGCCGATACAGGAGCAGCAGCAGCATCCGCAACTGAAGTCTTATTTTCATTATCGTCAATCTCACCTCCGTTCTCGGAACCACCATTACCATTCTCACCAGTACCATCAGCGTTAGCCGCAGAACCAGTTGCAGCAGGGGGAGGGGTGAAGCCTCCAAATAGAGGAGCAGCTGAAGCTGTTGCTGTTGTTGTTGCTGCTGCTCCTGTTGCTGTAGCTGAAGCACCAAAATTGAAAGCAGCTGAAGACGTCGTGACACCGTTTGCTGCTGACCCTCCAAATGTAAACACGCCCTTGCTGGCGCCATCAGCACCAGCAGCAGGTGAACCAGCAGCAGCAGCAGCAGGCGAGGCAGCAACAGCAGCAGGTGAGGCAGCAGCAGCAAACGAAAACACGGGGGTTGCAGTCAGGGAAGCAGAGGAACCTGCCGGCTTGCCAAAGGAGAATTGCGGGGTGGATGAGGCAGCACCAAACGAGAAGAATGGAGCAGCAGCAGGGGATGAGGCACCAGCATTGGAAGGGCTTTTAGAGCCGAAGGAGAAGAGCGGAGCAGAGGAGGCTGTTGGGGGAGCGAAAGCGGTGGTGAGGTTTGAAGGGGAGAATTGAGTGGTGGAAGCCGGTGTGGAAGAGGGTGTGGGGGTCGGAGAGGACGAGGGGGAAGGGGAGGAGGAGGAGTGGGCAGCACCAAAGGAAAAGACAGGAGCAGATGCTGCTGCTGCTGCTGCTGCTGGTGCGACTGCTGCTGCTGATTTCAAACCATCTGTTGCTGCAGGTGAGGTGGTACCAGTTGCTGCTGTAGCTGAAGTGGTACCAAAGAACAACGAAGGGGTTGAGGGGGATGCGGAGGAGCTGGATGCTGGTGCAGATGAGGACGAAGCAGCAGCAGCGGAGGGAGAGGAAGAGCCAAACGAGAACACGGGAACAGACGCGGTGCCTGCTGCTGTTGTCCCTGCTGCTCCTGTTGCTGCTCCTGTTGATGCACCAAATTTGAACGGAGAGGACGAGAACGGGGAGGAGGAGGACGGAGCAGAAGGGGAGGAGGAAGGGGAGGCGGATCCTGGCTTGTCAGGCTTCTCATTCTCAGCTGGTGTGGTGGACGGCCGCTTTACAAACGGGTTAGGGAACGCACCCCCTTCACCATCAGCAGTAGCAAAAGGGCTACCAGCAGCTTTCCAATCAGAAGCACCACCACCACCACCACCACTGCCAAAACCACCACCACCACCACCGCCTCGCTTCTTTGGCCGGTCAGATTGTATCCTCTCACTTCCCTCATCGTCTTCCTTGTCCCCTCCGCCTGCTGCTGCCTCTGCAGCGTCGCCCTTCGCCTCTGCTCCTCCCGTGCTGCTCCTCCCTCCAAACGCAAACGGTGACGCTGCAAACGAAGGAGCAGCAGTGCCACCGCCAGCACCACCAGCAGCAGCAGCAGCAGCAGCAGCATTAGCAGCAGCAGCAGCAGCAGGGCTGCTCGATCCAAAAACTGGAGCGGCAGGGGCAGCACCAAAGGCGAAGCCACTTTTACCTGGTGCAGTGGCGGGTGTGGCAGAGGCACCAAACGCGAAGCCACTCTTAGGTGGTGCGGTGGCAGGTGTGGCGGACGCACCAAAGGCAAAGCCACTATTGTCTGGTGCGGTGGCAGGTGTGGCGGACGCACCAAAGGCAAAGCCACTATTGGCTGGTGCGGTGGCAGGTGTGGCAGAAGCACCAAATGCAAACACCGGAGCAGCACTCGCCGCTTTCGTCCCCTCCGAACCTGATACCCCCATGCCTGATCCCGACCCTGTTCCCGTCCCTGTTCCCGTTCCTGTGCCGAATCCCGTGCCTGCGCCTGTTCCAGCATCGGTGGAACCTTTCCCACCCCCGAAGCTAGGAGCCACGGACGAGGAGAAAGGGGAGGACGTGGCAAAGAGGGCCTTGGGCACTTGGCCTTGTTTCCCCAGCCCTTGCAGCTTATCACCGGGTGTAAAAGCGCCAGTAGCAGCGGTGCCAGTGGTGGCAGTAGTGGTGGCAGTGGCAGCAGGGGATCCAAATGAAAAAGCGACGGGAGTGAGTGGGGAGGGCGGGGAGGAGGGCGGCTGAAACGCTGTGGCAGCAGCAGTAGCGCTGGCAGTGACAATCAGCAGCAGCAACAGCAGCAGCAGGAGCAGTCGCTGCAGCAGCAGCAGCAGCAGCAGCAGCAGCAGCAGGGGCAGCAGGGGAGTGTGGCTTCGATGGAGAAGAGACAGCCTTGCTGCATGGTGGAAAAACACGGGAACAGTGGTAAGTTTTCAAGTTGTTCAGACATGGAACAGGAAGCATTTGAAACCTGAGGAAAGATGCACGCAGGTATTGGCAGTGCAACAAACTGGAATTGACAAGTAGCCCTAGCAGTTTTCATAGGCAGAAAAGGAAAACATCAACTTCAAACACGCAACAAGAAACAGAAATTGGGACCTGTAGTATCAGGGATACTCACCCGAAGGATAGTGCAGGAGAGCGGAATCCAAACTTTGGAACCTCTTGACTGAAATCCGGACCTGCTGCTGCCGTCTTTCCAACCACTTGACTGAAATCAAGACCTGCTGCCGAGCCTGGCTTGCTGCCGAAGCTGAACTTAGGCTCGGCAGTCCCTGCACTCTTCTTCTCGCCCGACCCAGCTCCAGGTGGAGAGGCCTGGGACTTGGAAAAGCTGCCCGAACCAAACAGCTTCGGAGTTGCCAAACCTGCAGACGGGAACGCCGAGCCTGCCGCGGCTGCCCCTGTGCCATGGAATGAGAAACCCCCAGTGAACCCTGCACCAACATCAGCACCCGCTCCTGCTGACGTGGCACCAGGGGATCCACGTGGCTGAATCACAATGGTTGGCTCATCAGATGACGTGGCAAAAGGCTTCTTCTCCTCTTCTCCTCTAGTCCTAGTGGTGGCACCTGCACCTGCCCCTGCTGCTACACTTATACCTGCCCCCGCACCTGAAACTGCACCTGAAACTGCACCTAAACCTGCACCTGCACCTGCACCTGCCCCTGCGGCTGCTAACTTCCCCTCTGCTTGCTTCTCTCTCACCGTTAACTGCTCTCTCTCTGCCCCTGCCGTCCTGCTCCCTCCCGTCCCCTCACCAACCCCGGTGCTTGCACCGCCAGCAGCACCTGTGCCCACGCCCCAGACCGAACCTGATCCCATACCTGCTCCAGACCCTGTGCCCGTTCCTGCAGCCCAAGAAAACCCAGGCTTGTAAGCCGCAGCAGGAGCATGAGCAGCAGCAGCTACAGCGCCATTCCCAGCAGTTCCCGCACCAGACGAAGCAGCACCAAAACCAGCAGCAGGCGCACCAAAAGCAGCAGTAAAATCAGCAGCAGCAGGTGCCGGCGCAACGCCGTTCTGTGCGTCTCCTCCTCCTCTGTACCCTCCCTTCTCCCTGCCCTCCTCTGCAGCCACCTCTTTGCCCTTCCCCTTCTGCCCCATCCACTCCACCCCACCACTAGCACCTAAACCTGCAGCACTCACACCAGCAGCAGTGATACCACCATCAGCAGCAGCAGGCACGCCTGCAACACTCACACCGGCACCTGAGGAACCACCTGAAGAACCACCTGGAGCAGGGGGCGCGGGAGGGAGGTCACCAGCAGCCCTTTTACTCATGTACGTGGGAAGGAACGTTAGGGGCGGTGCCACTATATCGTCCCCCTCCCCTCGCCTGCCCACCCGCACCGAGCCCGAACCTGCACCTACACCACCCAAACCTGGACCCGAACCTGACCCTGAACCTGCCCCCAACCCATCGCCGAACCTGATTCTTGGGCCCAACAATCTCTTCCAGCCATCCACGCCCCTGTCGCCAAACCCAACCCCATCCCCACCCAACCCACCAAACCCATCCCTATCCCCGCTTACCCCACCAAACCCGCCCAAACCCCTATCCCCGCCAGCACCACCACCAACCCCGTCTCCCCCTCCGCTTCCCCCCATGCCTCCGCGCCCCTCACCCCCGCCTGCGCGCATCCCCCCCTGCGCCCCCGCGCCTCTGATATCCTCCAGCTTGGCGAGGATCTTTTGAGCCGTTTCTAGCGACTTGCCAGGGGCAAGGCTCATCCCAGAGAGTACATCCTGTCCCTGCTGCTGCCCTGCCCGCTGCTGCCCCTCCCGCCCCTGCCTCTGCCCCTGCTGCCCCTGCTCTAGTCCCTGCCGGCGCCTGTCTTGCTCTAACGGCCTACTCCCCTCTCTGCCTGACCCCTTACGCCCGAACAACCCAAACGTATCCCTTTCCGGGAACAGCTCTCCACCGTCTCCCACCCCTTCAAACGCCTTATCCCATGCGCCCTTCTTAGCGCCCAGAGAAAACCCGGGCAGTTCTCCGGGCAGCAGGCGCTGCCCGCCGCTGCTGTTACGAGAGGCAAACGCGTGGGAGCGGGCAGCCTGCCCGCGAAGCCGGGCAGAGGGGAGAAAACTTCCGGCCCCAGCAGAAAAGAGTGCAGGGGGAGGGAGGGGAGGGGGAGCTAAAACCCCCAAGACGGAATCTGAATGCCTTGTGATAGGACCGGGGAAAGAGGTGGGGCCGGGGGGGAAGGATACCAGGGCGAGGCGGTTGGACTGGTGGGAGGCACGAGGGCGAATTCGTCGTGCTGACACTGACTCGGATCCCCTCAGCCAATCAGCATCTGCCTCGTCATCGTCGCGAGCTCGCTTGGCGGACTGACACGCAGAGGGGGGATAAAGAGGGAGAAAGCAGGCAGGGGGGCGAGGGAGGGGGAAGGAGCAGAAGGAATGAGCAGAGACTTCAACGTCGTCTCTGCATCTGCAGCAGCACCAATTCGATTTTCCCATTCACGACCCACCTTAGGTGTGGCAGGCATTGAAGCACCATAACGGTCGTGAGCAGCAGTAGCAGCGCCAGGGAACACAGCTTGCACCGGCTCCCCGTTACCATCCTCCCTTTCCCCCCCCCCTCCATTCCCCATCCATGACCCACCTTAGGCGTGGTTTTACCTGCGTGCTTCACTCCACGTTGAGAAGAACCCTTGGGTTCTTCTTCCTCACCAACTCCCCCCCTTGCCCTCCTGCCTCGTCCTCCCTCCAGGTGCAACAGAGCAGATCATCCACCTCACAGAGTCACCTCTTCTTCCTCACCAACCCCCCAACCGTCAACCAAATTTTCCTCCTCCCTTCCTTCCCCTTCCCCCTCTCCATTCGCCCTTCCCCTGCTTCCCGCCTCCCCCGCTTCCCGCCTTCTCCATCCCCCACCCGCCCTGCAGGTACAACACGCCATCTACCTGGGCATGCACATCATAGCTGCCTGCTTGAATTCATCTTGACACCTTGGCCTCTTTTTCCTCACCAACTCTCCCTCCTATCCCCTCCCCCTCCCCTCCCCTTCCCTCCTCCTCCCCTCCCCTCCCCTCCCCTCCCCTCCCCTCCCCTCCCCTCCCCTCCCCTCCCCTCCCCTCCCCTCCCCTCCCCTCCCCTCTCCTATATACGTCCTTCTTCCTCCCTCCTAGCGCCCATTCATCGACCAAACCCCTGTCATCCGTGGCCCATCTCTTCTTCCTCCCGCCCCGCCCCCCACCAGGTGCAGCGAGCCATTTACCTGGACGTGGACATGATAGTGGCGGGCGACATCCAGGACCAAACTAAGCCTCCATGATAGGGGGACTTGTGCGTGCTTCAACTAGGCCTTCTCATGCAACCCCCTCTCTCTCCCTGCCCAAACCGTCTTCCCCTCCCCTCTTCCCCCTTCCCCCAGGTCCAACGAGCCATCTACCTGGACGTGGACGAGCACCATAACGGCCACTAGAAGCAGCAGCGCCAGGGAACACAGATCGCACCGGCTCCCCGTTACCATCCTCCCTCTCATCCCCCCTCCATTCCCCACCTTGACCCACCTTAGGCGTGGTTAAGCCTGGAGCACCATAGCAGCCGCGAGCAGCAGCAGCAGCAGCGCCTGGAAACACAGCTCGCACCAGCTCCCCAGTACCATCCTCCCTCTCATCCCCCCTCTCTCTTCCCCACCCACGATCCTCCCCCTCTTGCCCGCCTTCCTCGTCCTCCTCTTCCTCCCTCTCCTGCTCCTGCCTCTCCTCCTCCTCCTCCTCCTCCTCCTCCCCCTCCTGCTGCTGCACCTGCTGAGGCAGCGCCTGCTGCCCCCACGCGTCCCCCAGAACAGAATCAGAGGGCCGTCGCGACCCCACCACCACCACCATCTCCCCCCACCCGCTCGCCCTCCCCTCCGCGCCCTCACGCGCAGGAGACGGATCAGCATCAACATCATCATCAGCAGCGGAAGCGGAAGGGGTGCCGCCAGCAGCACTGCCAGCAATAGCAGCGGCGGCGGCTGCGGAAACAGCGCGGAGGTCGCCTCTCATGTACGCCTTTGCGATATCCACTGGGGACGCCCCGCCCTGGGGGCGACCGGGGATAGGGTGGGGGGGTGGGGGGAGGAGGTGGGGATTGAGGAGGGGTTTAGCGCACGGGAAGGGAGCAGAGGGGTAAGGAAGGGTCACCTCTCATGTACGCCTTGGCGATATCCACTGGCGACGCCCCGCCCTGGGAAGAGGGGGGGGGGGGGGGGAGGAGGGGGGAAAGGGGGCGAGGGAGGAAGTGGGGATTGGGGAGGGGTTTGAAGCGAGGAAAGGGGTCGCCTCTCATGTACGCCTTGGCAATATCCACTGGCGACGCCCCGTCCTTAAATAGTCGCGGAGACAAGCGGTGGAGCGGAGGGGAGAAGAAGGGGGACGGGGAGAGAGGGGTGGGAAAGCGTGGCAAGGGAGGGGAGGGGTGGAAAGGGATGTGGGACTAGGCGCTACCCACAGGCAATGTCCCGCTCTTGGGGTGGCAGGACACAAGGGGGCGGAGCGGGAAAGGGGGGAAGGGGTGGTGTGGGAGGGGAGGGGAGGGAAATGGAAGGCACAGTGCGGGACGCGGGCAGGTGGAATGTAAACAGCGCCAGAAAATTGGTGAGAAGAGAAAGCTACAGACGGAACAGGTAGACAGCAACTCAACGAGAGCGAACCACCCGACATCTCGCTACCACACGCCCCTTTCCCATCTCCCCATTTTCCCTCTTCCCCTTTTCCCCTTCTTCCGATTTCCTTCCCCTTCCTCCCCGCCCTTTTCCCCCTTCCTTCTCCCTTGTTCCTTCCACCTCCAAATCCTTCTCATCTAATCTCCCTCTGCCACCAAAAGCTTACATCTGGCGTGTGAAACTCCTCGTCCTCGTCAGCATCACCGGCATCCACGTCAGCAGGCGACGCCCAACCACTGGTAACCGGCGTGGCAAATCTAGATCCCGGATCTCCGCCAGTCAACCCCTTTCCAGCAGAACCCCTACCACCCCTTCCGGACGGCAGCGTCATATCAGCGCCTTTGGAAGGAGCGGCGAAGGTGCGTGCTGCGTCAAAGAACGGCGTGACAGGCGCTGCTGCTGCTGCTGCCGTGCCAGGGGTGTGGAACGGCGTGGATTTCATGCCGTTGGAAGTGGGGTTTGAGCCGCCAGGAGCGGGTTTAAATCCCCCAGGGGTGTGGAAGGGCGTTGGCGCAACAGCAGGTGTGTGGAAGGGCGTTGGTGCGACAGTAGGGGTTTGGAACGGTGTGGAGGTGGTAAAAGGGGCGTCAGTGGGTGGTGCGGCGGTGGGGGGAGGGGCGTCGGCGTCATCGACCACCTGAGCGCGCAGCATTTGCGACAGTCGCACGTACTCTCGCCTGCATGCACACACACACACACACACACACGCACACACACGCACGCACGCACGCACGCACGCACGCATGCCCACACGCGCATGCGCATGGTAATTCGCGCACATACATGCGCAACCACATACGCACACAATCACACAAACGCACACGCTCCCCCGCGCACAAACACACACAAACACACGCGCACATGACAGGAACCAGGAAACGGACTGACGTTGATTGCGCTCAACGCGTCGACATGAACCAGCTCTGGAAGCACAGCCACAGCCACAGCCACAGCCACAGCCACAGCCACAGCCACAGCGGCACCCAGCACAATCATGCGCTGACTTAAAGTCACTCATGTCGAAGAAACTCAACGAGTCGGAGGCATCAACTGGACGAGTATTTTTCATCAGTGCACTCACATGGACAGAGGCTTTCCACCCAAGGGCGGGCCGCCAGCAGCATCCGCCATGCCGTCAGCTAGGCTGAGCTCCGCCCTCTCGTCCTCCCCCCCGCGCGCAGGCTCCTCTTGCCGTTGCGATCCTGGTACCGAGACCGGACGAGGGAACAAGGCAGCGCGAGACAGGGAGTGAGAGAGGCCGACAGAGGGAAAGAGAAGGTGATTGCCGGCGTAAGAGAACGTTCGAGACCGTTGCCAGGCTTTGATTGACCTAATGCGAGGGCATCGCAGCACGACCGACGGTCCGACCCGGCAAGCAGAAATACAGTAAATTAGGGTTTCGTCAGGGCGGAAAGCAGGACTACCTAAGAGTGATGTAACTGACGAAAGATGGTGGATTAGGGTTTCGAACAAGGAGTGCACAAGGGATAGAATGCGAAAGCCGAAACAAAGCGCGGCCTGATTTCGCGAAACGCAATTCTGCTATAGACGACTGAGATCTTAGTACCTGCGTTACCGCGGGCAGCGTCGCTCGCCTGATCGCCGCTCCGTCGCCAGCCAATCATACTCAACACCGCGCCGCCGAGTCCTCCGAGCCAACCCTTTTTCTGCGATCCTCCGTCTTTACCACCCGCTGGAGCAGCAGCACCAGCGGAGGCGGTAGCAGCGGCTGTAGCAGCTGCGGCGGCTAGTTGGCCGGCAGCAGCGTGTCTTCCGGTCGCCGGCCGGCTGTACGGCGTGTCGGCGCGCACTCCATATCGCCTGGATCTCCCAAGCTTTCCGCCTGTTCCGCCTGTTCCGCCCAATCCGCCTGTTCCGCCTGGTCCGTTTGATCCGACTATTCCGCCTGTTCCTGGTGCTCCGTAAGGCGTTGGCGCTTTATTAAAGAGATGCCCTGAGGAATCTGTCGCACGGATCGCATCGTTCGCAATGCTGGTCGGGAATGCGAATTCTGTGGCGTGTGACGAAGCCATGGCCCAGCACGCACGACCGTTCGATTTACAACAAAAAACACGCCTGTCGGACAACAAATTAAGAATAACCAGTTAACACGTTCACGGCATCCGTGAACTAGAGACCAAGAAATGCCTCCTCATCTGCATATCTACTCATGAACACCCAATCGCGAATTGCACCTGAACAGATCGAGCCACGTAAGTGGGTAACGAAAGGAAAGAGGAGGAAAACTAGGTGGAGCCCGATAGATCGGGAGGATGGAAAAATGAAGGGTTTTTAGTTGATCACGCACTGTTACTGAACTTCTTTGCTCCTGACGCAGCTACAGCGCTTCTGGCGCACTATTACTGCCCAATTTTCGCTCAGAGCGCAGAATTAGGTGCTTTCAACGCAGTTTTGATTTCATTGGCCGTAGAATTGACGGGCCGATAACTCTGCTTTGGTTGACGGCCACCGAACCGTCAAACGCTAGCGTTTCGGGCATAAAAAAATATAACCCTATCGGGTGGCATGTTTTCGAGGGAGCATCAACCCTAAACACCGGGCGACAAGGAACTTAGGGTTGATGCCCTTTCCAACGAGTACATTTTTTTCGATGGCTTGTCTCACTAGAGCATCAACCCTAAACACCAGTCGGAAAGTGTTTAGGGTTGATATTCTTCTTAAAAGGGTAAATATACATTTTCTAACACTAAAAAACATTGAAATAGTTACTGTTCGCTGTGTCAGTATCCATAGGTTTGGTTTGTATTTATGTGCCATGTGTCGACCAATGAAATCAAAACTGCGTTGAAAGCACCTAATTCTGCGCTCTGAGCTAAAACTGGGCAGTAACAGTGCGCCAGAAGCACTGTAGCTGCTCTGGGAGCGAAGAAGTTCAGTAACAGTGCGTGATCAACTCAAAACCCAAAAATGAAAGCTGGAGAAAGAGCAGATGTGTGATCTGGTGCATCGATCAATTGGGGAGACTCGAGCCAAAGCTAGAGACTCGAGACAAGAGGGGGAAGAAACGCGCAGAATTGGTTGGGTCCGCCCCGCTCAGCCCCGTTCCGCTTCGCTCTGCTCCGCTTCCCTCAGCCTGCGCGGCCTGACAGAACGGGCGCGCGGGATCTCACTGGAAATGCCGAGCCTGACCCTTTCGCGTTCCAGAGTCTCCGCCTGACCTCGAGGTTTCGCCACGTCGCCGCGCCAAAAGCCTGGAAGATTTGAACGGTGAGGTGAAAGCTGGTACAGTGATTCTCTGTGCCTGAATCCAACCCATTAACTTCAATTTATTTTAAATAAAACAATTTACACAATTGAAACACAACAATACATTGTCTAGTGTGCATAACAACACAGCTTTGTCAACCCGCAAATTTATACGGAAAGCCAGCTTTTTGCTTGTTGCCCATTATAGAGTTGAGGCAATGGCCTCAACTTATCACATAAAAAGTTTGAAGTGCTATCTATCAAAGTTTCATCTCATCGTCCATTGTGTTCCAACTCTCAACCACATTTCCCAGCATCAATTCAAGTGATGGGATCATATTCATGCGACATCCACGGGTGTAGAAGAGCTTCATCAGCTGTCGGTCTTTTATCGGGGTCCACCTGTAGCAGGAACGCCACAAACTCCAGGAAGCCCTCATCTCCCATGGGCAGCCGGTGCTTGAGTGACGTCCTCTTGGGAATCAGATACTCCAGTGCGTCCGTCTCCTGTGGTTGGGGGAGAGGGCAGGGGAGATGCAGTGGGTGGAGAAGCTTGGTTTCATCCCCATGCCCCATCAGGGGTCGGTGCTTGAGAGAGGACTTTTTTCGCGGTCGGTGCCCCCGGAGACGGGTTCATCTGCCCGATAATACCCACCTCACGCACACCTCATACAGACAAACCCCCGACGCTGTCAGCTCACCGGGTTCCTCTCATACAGCACCCTGTGCCGTGTGAAGTACGTGCGAGCGTCCTTGGCTCTGCGTAGCAAAGAGGGGTCGATGGGCCCTATGAGATGCCCACCACCATACACCTGGGACAAACAAACAACCCTCCCCCCCCATCCCCACCACTGTCATCTCACTGGGTTCCTCTCATACAGCACTCTGTGCCGTGTGAAGTACTTGTGTGTGTCCTTGGCCCTGCGCAGCACACTCACACACATACTGTTACAAAACCCCATGAATATCAACTCACCGGGTTCCTCTCATACAGCACTCTGTGCCGTGTGAAGTACTTGTGTGTGTCCTTGGCCCTGCGCAATAGGGAGGGGTCGATGGGCCCTATGATGCCCACCACGCGCGCCAGCAGCGTTGCCAGGGAGTCATTCTGGAAGAGCACCTGGTGGGGAGGGGAGAGATGGGTGAGTTGGGAGGGGTGGGAGTGCATGAGAGTTGCATATGTGCTGTGAAACCTGTGAAGCAAAGCAGGGTCGATGGGCCCATGATGCCCACCACGCGCGCCAGCAGCGTTGCCAAAGAGTCATTCTGAAACAGCACCTGGTGGGGAAGAGGAGGGGAGGGGAGGGGAGGGGAGGAAAGGAGTGGGTGTGATTGGAGGGCAGGAGAGTGGGTATATGTATGCAAGCCTGCGCAGTTGAGCAGAGTCAGAATGACCCAGAATGACCTCCGTGGCCCGGTACGAGCGCGACTGCACGTACGAGCACAGCGCATCCCACGTGAAGCAGCTGCTGCCCCCACCACTCCCCTCCCATCCCCGCTCCCCCTCCTTCCCACCCTCCCCTTCCTGCTCCCACCCCTCCCTCTCCCTCCCCTCCCTCTCACCTGTCCGGAACACAGTTCAGCCAGAATGCAGCCGAGCGACCACACATCAATCTTGGGTCCGTAAGGTAGGCCTAGAATGACCTCCGGTGCGCGGTAGGACCTTGACTGCACGTACGAGCACAGCGCGTCCCATGTGAAGCAGCTGCTGCCGATGTCGATCACTTTAACGAGGCAGCGGGAGTAGCTCTTAATGAGGATGTTCTCGGGCTTGAGGTCGCAGTGTATGAGCCCAAGGGAGTGCATGAAGCGCAAGGCCTTGAGAATTTGCTTGGCGATGGACTGGGAGAGGGGAAGGAGAGGGAGGTGGGGGGAGGGGACGGACAGGAGTGAGGGGAAGCAGCGCGAGTAGCTCTTAATGAGGATGTTCTCGGGCCTGAGGTCACAGTGAATCAGACCCAGGGAGTGCATGAAGGAGAGAGCTTTGAGAATCTGCTTTGCAATGGACTGGGAGGGAAGAGGAAGAGCGAGTGGAGGGAGGAGGTGCTTCGTGTTGCTTTTGAAATTTCTGAAACGAAACGCGCCACCTCAACCATCGGACCCGCTCGCTCACGAGACCACAACAGACACCCTCACCCACCTGGATGCGCGGCACGGTGAAATAGACCTCTCGTCATGATTCCCGGTTGTACTTGTGAAACTCGTACAGGTTGGGTTGGGTTGGGTTGGGTTGGGGCAGTCAAGTGGCAGCTCAACCATCGGACCTGCTCACCAGACCACAACAGACACCCTCGCTGACCTGAATGCGCGGCATGGTGAAATAGACCTCTCCTCCCGACTCCCGGTTGTACTTGTGGAACTCGTACAGGTTGGCTCGTAGCAGCTCGCATATTATGAAGAGATGCTCCTGATGGGGATGGTGAGTGGGGGGAAAGGGTAAGGAAAGGGGAGGGGAAGGAGGAGGAGAATGGGGAGGAACAAGGGGAGTTTTGAGTGGAACTCGTACAGGTTGGCTCGTAGCAACTCGCAGATGATAAACAGATGCTCCTGGGAGGGAGCCGGGGAGGAACAAGTGAGGAGAGGAAACAGCGCCAGAGCCAGAAGCACTGGCAACAGCAGTACCAGCAGCAGGATCGCCACTGTCACCGAGGTGATCCTGCTGCTGGTGCCAGTGGCGATCCTTCTGCTGGTACTGCTGTTGCCAGTGCTTCTGGCACTGGCCTTGTTGTTCTTGATGATGTTCATGTGAACTCACTCACCCACTTACTCGCTCACCCCCTCCCTCACTCACACCCTCACTCCCTCCCTCCCCGACTCACCCGGTGGTAGAAGTAGTCATACATCCGCAGCAAGTGATGCTCATCAGCGGGGTCGCGCTGGTTGATAAACTTCAACAGCTTGATCTCATCCAGGCTTTGATCGAAAAAGTCCTTGTTGTTCTTGATGATCTTCATGCACACGTCCATGCCCCCACTCACACACACTCCCTCCCTCCCCCACTCACCCGGTGGTAGAAGTAATCATACATCCGCAGCAGGTGATGTTCATCCGCCGGATCATGCTTATTGATAAACTTCAACAGCTTGATCTCATCGAGACTCTGATCAAAGAAGTCTTTATTGTTCTTGATGATCTTCATGCACACGTCCATGCCCGTGTGCAGGTCGTGTGCCTGGATGGCCTTGCTGAACGCCGCTGCTCCCAGGTATTCTGTCACGTAGTAGCGACCAGCTATGACGGAATTGAGGACGACCGGAAAGTCCTTGTCCTCCTCAAACCCGGTTCTGCACGGGAGGGTTGGAGGGAGGAGGAGGGGAAGGGGGGTTGGGGTTGAGGGGAGTAGTGAAGGGAGGTGGGCATGGCAGGGAGAGGGAATGATCTTCATGCACACGTCCATGCCCGTGTGCAGGTCGTGTGCCTGGATTGCCTTGCTGAACGCCGCTGCTCCCAGGTATTCTGTCACGTAGTATCGCCCCGCTATCACTGAGTTGAGGACCACTGGAAAGTCCTTGTCCTCCTCAAACCCCGTTCTGCGGAGCAGGGAGGTAAGGAGGCAGGGGAGGAAGCAGGGAGGTAAGGAGGCAGGGGAGGAAGCAGGGAAAGGGGATGATCTTCATGCACACGTCCATGCCCGTGTGCAGGTCGTGTGCCTGGATCGCCTTGCTGAATGCTGCTGCTCCCAAATATTCCGTCACGTAGTATCGGCCCGCTATCACTGAGTTGAGGACCACTGGAAAGTCCTTGTCCTCCTCAAACCCCGTTCTGGTGGAAATGATTGGGAGACACACAAGGAGGAGAGATAAGCCTTTGGATACGCCTCCTTTACGTTGCCGGGTATTTTTTACAATTCTCAAAAATACTTTTCTTTTCAATAGATTCAGTAGTGACACTTGAGAAGACTCAAAGAACTCCTTACTGTGCGTGATGAGACGATTTTTTAGTCGATTCAAGAATCAGCTCAGTAGTGACGCTGCTCCTCACCTGTTCTTTCTGTGGATGACTCTCAAATTGAACGTCTCAAACTCCTCCTCCTTGCTCCCCTCCGCCTTCAACTTTTGAGACGTCTCAAAACACAGCACACAGAAAGCTTCTCACCTGTTCTTTCTGTGGATGACTCAAATTGAACGACTCAAACTCCTTCCCCTTGCTCCCCTCCGCCTTCCACGTTTGAGTCGACTCAAAGAGCACCTCACCTGTTTTTTCTATGAATGACTCTCAGATTGAACGTCTCAAACTCCTCCTCCTCTTTCGCTTTCCCCTCCTCCTTCCCCTTCCCATCCTCCTTCCCCTTCCCCTCTTCTTTATCCCCTACTGCTGCCTGCTCCCCACTCTTTGCCTTCCTCTTAGCACCCCCTGCCCCATCCCCTCCTTCCTTCCCCACTGCCTTCCCTCTCCCTGCTTCTCCCACACTCGCTTCATCCGGCTTCTTCTCTTCCTCTCTCTTTCCCACCTCTTCCCCCCCCACTCCCCCAACCTCCCCCAACTCCCCCACTTCAACCGATTCCACCGAAAGCCTTGACCGCCTATCTCCACCCACACTACTCCTCGCACTCCCCCCTTCACTCCCCGCCCCACTCCTCCCCTCACTCCTCCCCTCCCCTCCCCCACCCCCCACGCTCCCCTTGTCCGCAAAATCCCAGTTCCCCGAAGCAGTCTGCGCCAGCTTCGGAAACGTACCACTGGCCTGCTTCTTCCAAACCTCCAAAGTGCTATCAGCAACGCTCCCCATCCTCTCTAACTCGTGTTCTAGCTCTATTTCCCCCATGACTGCTGCTCCGCTGCTCCCCAGGGACGGGGGGGTTAACCCCTCCCCCAGCCCCGACCACCCGGAGTTACCCCGCGAAAGCCCCTCGTTACTCGAGGGCGAGTGGAACGAAAAGCCCCCCCCTTCCCCATCGTGCCCAAACCCGCCTCCCCCGTCCCCTCCTCCCCTATCTCCGCCACCCCCCCCAAACCCTCCAAAATCCTCTCCAAAACCAGCCCCTCCCCCCTCCCCCCCTTGCTCGTCATCCCTCCGCCCCTCCTCCGCCCCTCCCCCTGCCCCGCCCCCACTGCCCCTCGCCCCGTCTCCTACAATCACATTCTGTAAAAGCACACCCCTGCCACCCTCCCTATCAGCACCCTTAGCGGCACCACCACCATCCAGGCCACCAGCGTCACTGGTCCTCGTATCAATGAAATCCGCAATGAGATCCACAGCACTCCCTCCCTCCACTGCCTCTGCCCCACCGTTCATCCTCTCCCCCTCACCCCCTCGCCCCTTCTCCCCGTCGTCAACACCCGCTGCCTCCCCTGCTGCAGCACCTGCTGCCCCGCTCCCTGAGTCCGCCCCGTCCCCTGCCCCAGTACCCTTCTGCACCGCTTCAAAACTCATCTCCACCCCTTTCCCTGTCGTCCCACTGCTGCTGCCCTTCTCTGCCTCTCGAACCGACAGGTCTTTATCCAACGCGCTCCCCTCTTCCACCCCTTTTCCCTCTCCCATGCTCTTACCCTCCGATCCCTTGCTGCTGCTGCCCCCTTTCTCATCCGTCAACGCACCCTCCCCTTCGCCCTTACCCACCGAAACCTTACTGCTGCTCCCTTTCTCATCATCAGTTTCTGAGTCTAACTCATACAATAAGAACCTCTCCTCGTCCTCCACTAATCTCCTCACATACCCCACGTCCTCCTCATCCTCATACGCGTCAGAGTCAGACCCGCTACCCTCTAACAGCAGCATCTCGCTGTAATCCACCCGCTGCCCGCGCTCCCCCGCGTCTGACTCAGCAGCTGCTGACGTGGACCTGGTTACCACCGATGCTGACCCGTCCTGTGTCCTGGGCGAGGTTCGAGATGACCCAAGAGGCGAGCTTCGGGTAAGCTCATGAGGAAAGCCTCCCAGCACATTCCCTGACCCTCCCCCTCCTGCCAACGCTCCCCGAGGGGAGTGTCGCGTCGACTCAAGCATTCTCGCCATATTCCCTGACCCGCCCCCTCCTGCCAGCGTGCCATCACCGCGTGGGCGCCTTATACCGAATTCCTCTGAGACCACTTCTGAGCCCACGACCACGGGGCCGATGGTGATGGTAGGGAGGGGCGAGGACGGCGCGGACGAGGGTGCGGACGACCCTACGGGACTGCGCTCCCCTGATGCCTGCCGTTGGTGCTGCGCTGCTCCCTGCTGCCCGGTCTGCTGCCCGGTCTGCTGCCCCTGCTGCTGTGGTGGTGTGACCACGGGGGCGATGGTGATGGTAGGGAGAGGGGAGGACGGCGCGGACGACCCCACGGGGCTGCGCTCCCCTGATGCCTGTCGCTGGTGCTGCGCCTGCTGCCCCACCCCCTGCTGCCCCACCCCCTGCTGCCCCACCACCTGAGAGCCGACGACCACGGGGCCGATGGTGATTGTGGGGAGGGGCGAGGACGGCGCGGACGACCCCACGGGGCTGCGCTCCCCTGATGCCTGTCGCTGGTGGTGCGCGCCCCCCTGCTGCGCGCCCCCTGCTGCTGGGGGGGAGCTGCCACGTCTTTCCGCCCATCCACTTCCGCCTGTGCGTGCGCTTCCCCCACCTCGCGCACACCAGGCACCGCTGCAAACTCAAGCACCTCTGCACCCATTCCCACCACTCCCAACCCCCCCACACCTTTCAACTCGTTTCCCGCGCTTCCTCTATCGTTCCCTGCACTCCCCCTTGCACTCCCCCCGCTGCCCCTTGCGGTTCCCCCGCTGCCCCTTGCGCTTCCCCCTGCGCGCCACTCACCCCCTCCCCCGTCCCGCTCCCCCCCCCCTCTGCTCTCCCGCAGCGAGCCAATCCCGAAGTCCAGCGACGCGACCAGGTTCACGCCCTCGCGGCTCTCTGCACTTAAACGAATCGGCTTCAAACGGGGAAAACCGCTGTCTAACGCGGACGCGACTGGAGCGGCGGCGTCAGCAGGGGAAGGTGCTATATCCAATACCGGAGCAGCTTTTGGAGGGGATTCGGTTAAGCCGATAATAGGGTCTTCAACGACGAGAGGAACGAGATTGCAGCTCTCTGCTTCCTCCCTTCCCGTCCCACCAGAAAGATCCCGATCCGACGGCGCTGATGACGCCGAACCTGCTGCTGCCGAACGTGATGCTTCGGAACCTAATGTCGCCGAGCCTGCTCCCGCGCCTGCTGCCGAACCTGAGCTATTCGGTTCGGCAAGAGCGGCGGCGTGCAGAGAGACGTCCTCCTCGGGAACCACGTCCAGCGAAGGGGAGGACGGCAGGGACGAGGGGGACGGCAGGGACGGGGATTTCGGGAAATACGCCGCGGAAAACGGATGCTCGCTTTTAAGAGGCGCTCCCGACGCAGCGAGAGCGTGCGGCGGCTGGCGCGGAGAGCGGCCCGGTGGAGTGGCGGAGGGGGATTGGGACATGGGGGGAGTGGCGGAGGGGGATTGCGCCATGGGCGGAGAGTGCGCGGGCGACCACGGCAGGCCGACGTGCTCCAAAAACTGCGACGGCGCCGTGTTGCTCCGCGCGATCGCATTGAATCCCGCGAATCCCGCGAACCCGCTGCTGTTTCCCCCGCCGTTCCCACCGGTCCCGCCGCCGCTGCTAGCGCCGCCACCTGCGCCGGGAAACCCGGAGCCGCGATTAAGCATCTGGTCTTGCTTCATCCAGAGGAAGAGATTAACGTCCATGTCGGAAGGGTCGGGCGGCGGGCGGGAGGAGGCGGCAGCGGCGGCGGAGGAGGAGGAGGCGGGAGGAGAGGACTGCGGGAACTTGTGCGACGGCAGTTTTTGCGAAGGGCGTTTGTGCGACGCCTGTTTCTGCGACATTTCAAGTCGTAGAGCCTCCGCGGCCCTGTGGAGGTTGTTGCGCTCTAAGTACTCCACGATGGCGCATAACGTGTCGCCCATGGCGGATGGCGGAAGGTAGATGGTGGATGGCGGAGGGCGGAAGCGGATCCGCGCTGAGAATACGTCGGCCCGCAGAGCTAATACGCGCGGAGCTACTACGCGTGGAGCTGCTATGCGCGGAGTTGCTACGCGCGGAGATGCTACGCGCAGCACCCTATCATTCTTCCCCTGACGACATTTCAAGCAACAGTAATCAAGAACGCTGACGGATGATCATGATGAAATGTGGACTAACAATCTCGATAGGTCACAGAAAACCAGGAATCGCGAGAAAACCTAGAATCGCGTCAGCACACAGCAAATGGCTGGACCGTGGTGTCATGTCAGGGTGACCCTACGCCTTATCCCTGCTCCAGTGCAGTACTTACGAGCTAACCCTAAACCAGAACTGCTGACTCATACTATCGTCATCGCCTCACAAAGTTAGAGGCACTGCTCTCAGCACACCACCATACCCCCGTACCACACCTTGTTATTTAGGGATGATGACAGGATGATGGTAGTACCATTCTAGTGATTTTGTGTATGATCGTGAGGCACAACTAGCAGGTAGATAGTGACACTGGAGTTGGATGGTTGCAGACTCTGTAGTTGAAATGAGGTTCTCGGCTGTAATTTGTGTTTGGAGTACGATCTAGTACGGTGGCAATGGTTTGCCGTCCCGGCAATTTGACGAATGATGATGAGTTGAATGTACTCCCTAAATCAGACCCCACAAAGCCCAAGGCGTATCGCGCACATCTGACAACCTCCCTACCGCGCGGCAGCTTGTAACGCGGAAAAACGTTCTCAAGGCTTGATGGGCTTTTGCATTTATGACTATCTACTCCTAGTGATCCCGTCTTACAAGAATACTTTCTAAGATTAGCTGCCGAGCCGATTCGGCAGAACCAACCAACTTACATCAGTTGCTGAACAAAAATCAATTATCCATTTGCCTCCGTCCTCAACCAGTCCTCTAAAGGACTGGTCATTTCATTGGCCCAACCCTACCGGTACTTTGAGACCAGCTACATGTAGCTTGGTTGAATCTATTGTAACCAGCCTAGGCCTTGGATGCAGTAGCCACTCCATGTGACATCCCCTTTCCAACCTTTGACTTGAGCCCCAGTGCTTTTCCCGAAACACCTTTATCCTTGCTTCCAACCGCGCCATTGCACAACCCATGGCCACCATTCTTGCTGTGCCCAGACTTCTCGGAATGCTGCAACTGCTGTGACTGCTGCAGCTGCTGCTGGTGCGGCTGCTGGTGCTGCATGAGTTGCTGCTGGCGTTGCTGCTGCTGCGCTGACACCGCCTGCTGCTGTGCGTTGCAGAGGTGGCGGCAGGAGAGGAAGAAGAGCAGCGAGTGGTACCCCACCAGCGCCATTACTGCATACCCCTCCCACCACCGCGACCACACCAGCAGCAGCAGCACCTGCGATGCCTGGTGTGTAGGTGAAGGTTCGGGGTGAAACAAGATAGACGGTGCATGTTTGAAACAGCGGCATTGGGACGCGAGCAGAAAACTTATTGTTGGCCTCAAGTCGTAGAGGACTGGGTGTGGGAGGGGCAATACAGGCGTGCAACAGACTAAGGACACTTCAAGCATCAAGGGGCCGAGTGACCATCAGTTGGTGGTGCATAAGTAGGACAGCACAGACCCAGAGTCGACCAGTGGTACAGAGCACGGATAGACAGGCCAGACCAGGATAGAACGGGAGCTATGAAATGAACGAATATCAGAGGTGAGCAGGGTAGCGATTCAGCATGGGTGCTCACCGAGACGCAGATCTGTGTGCCAACAACCCAGTTGGAGAAGACCAAGGGTTGGTGGTGCAGCAGCTGCAGGCGTGGGAGGGACAAAGAGGGCGACGAGAAAGAGGGGGGTTTTATAAAAAAAAAGGGGGGGGGGGATATGAGAAACAGGCGGGGGGATATGAGAAACGGGGGGAGTATGAGAAAAGGGGGGAGTATGAGAAAAGGGGGGAGTATGAGAAACGGACGGGATGTAGGAGTTGTAGCACGATTGCTTTGACACAGCGCATTACCCACGAGATGAGCGACTCGAGAATGAGATTTAGGACTACTTCAACGAGGATAAAGGGACTGAAGAGCTTCTGGGCATTACAAAGAGGAGGGCAGCGGAGAGCGATCCCGGCTGAGCGGTGTTGAACCTGCCGAGGCCCACAAAGAGGCGCCCTCCCCGCTGTACGATGGCTCCCTCACTGTACGGCACACTGTGAGGGTTCCACTCCGCAACGTCCCTGGAGCAGTGAGGAGGTGGGGATAGGAGGTGGAGAGTGGAAGAGGAGAAAGGGTGGGGAGAGGACACGCGGACTTGAGAGTGAGTGGCAGCCCCAGGACCCCTGAAAGCACAATGGCCACTGTGGGGGTTGGGGGCTCTTCCTCACTGCACGCTGCTGAGGCTGCAGGGCAGAACAGAACTGAGGCGCTCCCCTTCCCTGCTCTCCCACACCCACAAGCTCACCTGCTGATGGTGAAATTCGGCACGCCGACGCGGTGCCAGCATCCCAGGTGTGCTGCCACATACTCCACCCGCTCCCTGCTCTGATGCCATGGCCCCTTCAAGCCATGCAAATGAGGCTTGTCTCACCTGCTGATGGTGAAATTGGGCACGTCAACGCGGTGCCAGCACCCCAGGTGCGCCGCCACATACTCCACCTGTTCCCTGCGCAGCACCGCCTCCTTCATCAGCAGCAGCATGGCCGCGCCCACAAACGCATATCCCAGCAGCAGACAGCATGACAGGCGGCTCACTAGTATGTCCTCATGCATCTGAGGGGGCGAGAGACGGATGGGGGATGGAGAGAAGGGAAGGTTAGGTGGGGAGTGGAGGGGCATCAGGGGTTTGAGTTGAGCAGCGCAGCACCGCCTCCTCCATCAGCAGCAGCATGGCCGCCCCCACAATCGCGTACCCCAGCAGCAGACAGCACGAGAGACGGCTCACTAGTATGTCCTCGTGCATCTGAGAGGGGGGGTAGGGCGTAGGGGGTGGGGCAAGAGAAGGAAGGCAGGGCGGAAGCGATGGGTGGGGAGAAGAAGAAACTTCGGATGGTGCTAGGGAAGGTGGCAATAGACCAGAGCAGCATGAGCGCTCCTAAACAGCCGTATACCAGGGACGAGAGAGACTCACACAGGTGCCTTTGATGGGGACAACCCCCACAAGGTAGCTGCCCATGCACGCCTCCACTCCACGAGCACCAGGCGCATCAGCAGCTCTTGGGCTCGCAGCACAATCCACACACCAGTGTTTCCACACACAAGCCAAGACAAACACTTGTGTAAACATGCATGAGCTGTGACAGAGCCTCGCGTGGGTGCCTTTGGTGGGGACAACGCCCACGAGGTAGCTGCCTATGCACGCCTCCAAGGGCACCAGCGGCATCAGCAGCTTGGGCCAGCTTGTGGCACAATCAACACGCAAAGATTCACACGCACAAACAAAGGCAGTGACTCACGTAGGTGCCTTTGATGGGGACAACGCCCACGAGGTAGCTGCCCATGCACGCCTCCACGAGCACCAGGCGCATCAGCAGCTTGGGCCAGCGCCGCAGCTTGCGAGTGAACCACGTGAAGTCAGACGCGGATGATGATGCAGACGCACTACCAGAAGAAGCAGCGCCGATGCCACTGCTGCTGCTCCTCATGCTTCCGCCTCTGCTGCTGCTGACGCTGCTGCTGGCGCTGCTGGTGGTGAGACTGGCGGTGCTGTTGCTGCTCGTGCTGGTGCTGACAATCCCAGTACTAGCATTGCTGCTGCTAGTGCTGGTGCTATCGGTGCTGCCACCATTCATGGCACCTGCCTTGCTGCCGTCCCTCTCTCCCCTTCCCGTGGCCACCTCCCCAGGTGGCTCACTGGTCTGTTGTGACGCCAGAGGAACGCTTATTGGCTGGTTGCTGCTGGGAAAATCCGGATGCAGGCTAATTGGCTGCTGGATAGTCGTTCCTGCTGCATGAGAATCAGCACCAGGCAGAGGGTTCTTCTGTGGGACTGTGCAGTCATGTGGGGATGGGGAGGTGAGCGGGATAGAGGAGGGAGGAGAGGCTTGAGAGTGAGAGTGAGAATTTAGACCGGATGGATGGCTGGGGGGTTGAGGGGGTGAGGGAGGATGGGACGATGTGGGTTGGCTCTGACGGAGCAGGAGTGGTTGCTGTAGGGAGTGTGATGGAAGCGAAGCTGTCACTGTGGAGGATGGAAGAACAGACAGGGGGGCTGTTGTTGCTGCTGCTGCTGCTGCTGCTGCTGCTGCTGGCGGTGCTGCTGCTGTGTTGGTGCTCTTATCGGATGTGACAGAAGCGGGGAGGAGAGAGGTGGGGCGCAGGGAAGGGAGCGAGGGAGGAGGGGCGGAGGGAGGAGCGTCGCGATGCAGGGACCTAATCTGGTGGTTGAGCAGAGCAACGATGATGGCGTAGCAGATGGGCCTGGTGCGGGCACGGGGGGATTGGGAGGGATTAAAAGGGATTGGGATGGATTAAAAGGAATTGGGAGGGATTAAAAGGGATGGAAGGGGATTGGAGGGTTTGAAAAGGAACTGAACTGGATTGGATGGGACAGAGACTCGAACAGCTGGATAAGACTTGCAGGGACAGTGGGGATGTAAAAAGAATTGAGGCAGAATATGAAGAGGATTCAGGAAAGAGTGGTGCTGAGAAACGCAACAAGAACCGACCAAGGGCACACAAAGGCAAGGAGACATATGGAAACATAAGGCGAGAAGGGACGCACGGGACAAAGAGGAGCAGCTGCGACTGCCAGGGGAGGGTGAGGGAGAGCTTGAGCGCGAGGAGAGCCACGGCAGCAACATACAGCCCCACCTGTGATGCCCAGCACAGCGGGGCAAGGAGCAGATGGGAGTGGGGGAGCAGAGGTGATGGGGAAGCAGCAAGGAGCGGGAGGGTGAGGGAGAGCTTGAGCGCGAGGAGAGCCACGGCAGCAACATACAGCCCCACCTGTGACATCACAGAGGGGGATAATAGAGGAGTGAGGGAGGGAGACGCGAGAAGATGCGCAAAGGCGACGAGGGAGGAGCTGCAGAGGGAAAGGGCGTTGAGAGCAGGAGGGGAGTCAGACCCGCAGGGGACTAGGCATGGAGCGGAAACAAGCAAAAACAAGCAAGCAAAGGAGCTTGGAATCAGCAACTGCGATCCAAAGCTTAAGTTGATGAACGAGAGACGTCATGAGAACCCTGAGTGCATGAACATCCTGAGTGTACCAGAATCAGGGAGCTGCAGGTGCCGGTGACTACGCCCATGGGCGGGAAGACATGGTGCTCCCACTGCCCATGCCCTGAGCTTCTCCCTGCTTCAACAAGCCCCGGGTTAAGCAGAGAGCTCCCCTTCACAGTAGAGTCGTCGCCCAACAACTGCTCCTTGCCTCCCCCTTGCGAGTCAAACCCGCCCCCTTCACCAAAACTATCCGTGTTGTGCTGGCTGCTGGCCTTGATAACCCCATCTCCTGCCCCTCCTGCCACCACGCCACTACCAGTCAACGGGAACGGCTCTCTGGCAGCAGTAGCAGAGGCCGCAGCAGCAGCAACATCAGCACCAGCACTGCCTTTATCCCCCACCGGCCTATACTCCCGCCCGACCTTGCCCTTCACCCTCCACTCCTTTGTGTCACCACTGGCCGCTCTTTTTCCACTACTAGCCTCACTAGCAGCTACATTACCACCTACACTGTCCGCTGCTGAATGCGTAGCGTTCCCAGCACCGCTGAGAGAAACAGCAGGTGCAAGCACGCTTTGGCTGTTCCTGCTACTCAGGAAGAGTCGACTGAGGAAGCTGCTGCTAGCACTGCTGCCAGTGGCGGACCAAGAAGCAGCAGGTGCGGAGGCTTTATTGGCGGCATGCGGATGGAAGTCGATGAAACAGGCGACTATGCGGCGCAGGAGGAGCAGACAGACCAGAAGCACCTGAATCGTGAAGGCGTGTGGGTGTGTTGAGATACAATCACGAGAACGGATTGGAAAGAATTGGACGGATAGGACAAAACCAGATGAGAATAACGATAACGGCGACGAGATGCACTCATGACGCAGTAATAAACGGTTCAAGCCACTCAAAATGCGGTAGTCAACGGTTCAAGGCACTTACGACGTGGTAGTTGATGTCGTGCAGCGCGGAGCGGTGGAGGCAGAGCAGTTGGATGGCGAGGAAGACGCACATGTGCACAAAGAACATGGCTTCCACCCGCACCTCCCGCACGGCCCCTCCGCCCATCTCCCCCCCCTTGCTGCCTCCTCTGCTACTGCTGCCGCTGCCGCTGCCGCTGCTGCTATTACTGCTGTTTACCCCCCTGCTGCTGCTGCTGCTTCGGGCGCTGCCGTTGTTCGCCAACCCGCCGTCGTCCCCGCCGCTGCTCTTACCAGCCGTGCTGCCTCGACCAGAGTCCGAATCCCCCTTCTCGCCTCCTGCCTTCCTGCTCGCCGAACTGACAGTCAGACTGGAATCCCCTCTCTTTGCCCCGGTAGAAACCGTCCCAGTAAGCGCAGAATCCTCGCCCTGCTGCTGGTGGTGCTGCTGGGTCCGAGCTGGCCCGCCAGAATTAGGGTTGCTGACGCAAGCGGAGGTGTGATGACCAGCATTGTTCTCAACCCTATTCTTGGTTGGCTTGCGCCCTCCGCTTCCGCCTCTGGACGGCGGAGAGGCGTCCCGGGGAAAGACTGGGGGAATGGTTGCGCGGGTGGGCGAGGAGGGTCCATTGGCGAGCGATCGGTTGGCGTGACGCCTGTTGGAGCTCATGGCTGGAGCAAGCAGGGGATTCACGCGAACAGTAGGGTTTGACAGAAGCAGAGAGGTGTGTGTCATTTGAGTTGACTCAAAGGCGTCATTAGGAGCTCATTGCTAGAGCATGGGTTTCACGTGAACAATCGGGTGTGAAACCAGAAAAAGAGAAGGTGACTTCCGAGTCGACTCAAACGGCACCTGATCAATCATGACTAAAACAGGGATTTCACGCAAACCTTGGGATGTACGAAAAGGGGGAGGAGAGCAAAGGGTGAAATTCAGGAAGAGCAGGAGGGAGAATAGTGATCTGGAAGAAAAAGACAATATGTCTAAACGGGAAAGGTACATCGTAAAGAGTGGCCGTCGATTTTAAATCACCAGTGTAGGTAGGACAGGTACCGGGAAAAAAAAATAGAACACGAAAAAACGCCCGCAGGTACCAGAGCCGATAATGTAAAGAGTTGCAGCGATGGAGGAAAGACGAGAAACTAGGGTTTGATTCGCGTCGAGCAATATGGCGCCAATCTGAGCAGTAATCACAGCGGTGCGAGGACCTACTAGTCAAAAAAACATAGACGTTACAAAAGGTTGAAAAAAGGAGACAAAATGGACTTACCCGCGAAGGGATCCGACAACGCAGCGAAGCACCATGGATCGCGAAGTTACAAATAACTACTGGGCCGGCTACTGTAGCTTCACCATGAATGATCAGACACGACGCTGATCCTTTCCTCGTGCGACTAAGGTGCCTTGGTTCACACGCATGATACAGAAAAATCCTAGGAATGTAGAAGCTGTATTCTAGCTGTAGATTTGCGATGGCTCCTAACTAATTTGGTCTAGATGATGATCTCGAAGGAAACCCCCCATACGACCATCAGGCTCGCCTCGGGAATCTCCTCAACACATCAGGTTTGGCACATTCTCTGACGGTGTTGGTCACCCTGACAGGTTCGGTATCTGATGGGTCGCTGGTTCGGTTTGGTCCTTTGAGCGGCTTGATGAATCTTGTCCAATGAGGTGAGTGCATCTCCACTGTACGCATCTCCACTCATGTCAGTGCCTGATCAGTTGAATATTCCGTATAATGTGACAGATAGAACGAAGTGTTTTTTCAAGTGCCAATAGATCTAATCATAGATGGAGTGTCTGGTGTTGTGAATAGCCATTACGAACGATCAAACCAAAGCTTACTTTGAAGCGTATGGCACAAGGCTGTATGGGTTTGTCTGCCACGCCAGAAACTTGTCAGCCTTTGGATCAGAACTGCCACGTCACAAGACTGGCTTTTAGATTATTGGTTGCATCCTTGGTCCGTGAATCCTTACCGCGCGTTGAGATCGAGCCAGGTTACCGGGCTCGTTCTCCATCCATGCTCGGTGTTACGGGCATGCGAAATTCGTCAGAACCATTTTGCTGCGGATACCTCAAAGTCGTCACGCCAGCATCTCCCTACTGGATGCTGCACCTCTTATATTTCCGTAGAGTTCTGCGGGGCAAGGAAAGCCAAGCCAATCCAGCCAAAACCAGCTGATTCCATCAGCTTTCCCTCCAACGGCTAGCTAGGGTTCTCTCGTAATGGGCTAGCAAGCCGACATCAACCACACAATCCGCTGCGCCGCGTTACGAAATGTCGGTTTACCGCCAAGACTTATCGTTCGAACGTTTACCCCTTTGATCTGAGCCCTTCACCACTTTCGTTTTAGAAAGATCCGACGGTCACACCTCCCTCCTCATTTCATTGCACATTAACGGCCATCCCTCCAGGAGGTGTCGGCGTTGTTGCCTCGTGTTACATGATCCCAGGCACGCGGCGTTGATCCAAACTTGTCCGCAGCATTTGATGGTTTTTTTTTAGGGTAGGAGGTCGGGTGGTACAGGCGGTGGGGGTGGGAGAAGAAGGCAATGTTTTCTCGCAAGCTTTCTTATTAGGCAGTTTTAGCCGTTCAACGATGCTCTTTTAGCTAAAATATTTCTTCCGACGTTTTGCAGCTCGGTTCAGACCCCACTCATTCCACCTCCAGCCAATCTCCTCCTGCATGCCATTCCCCTACCTCCACTCACATTCCATTTCCCAAGGATTTCGCCTTTCCAAACGAAACGTCTCCTGCCTGCTAGCCCCACTCTGCTCTCGCATTCTCGTGTTCCATTCTCCAATTTCCATTCGCCTAGTTAGCCTACACGGATCCTAAGTTCGGCTGCTGCCAGCACGAGCGTTGCTTCTGGAGTTCGTGCTGCGTTGACGATCGGATCAACTGTCTAGTTAGTCTGCGAGAATCGAATGTTATTCTCACTGTAAGTTGAAGGTTACAAGGCCAACCGTTCCGTTTTTATTTTATTGTTAGACAACTGATTCCACTCTCTGCTTTTCCGCAGAAACGTGTGAAATTGCTTCGATTCAAGACATCTCAGCACGCGGGAACGCTTTACAGTTAAATAGGCATTTCAGCACGCATTAACGTGAACGAGTTCTCAACGTAAGTCTCAAAACGATAGCGCTGGTCACATTTTTTCTGTTTGGTTCGTATCAGTCTTCACTGTTCGCGTCAATCTCCACTGTTCGCGTCAATCTCCACTGTTCGCGTCAATCTCCACTGTTCGCGTCATCAGTATCTGATTGCCTTTTCGTTTCTGCCTCGCAGGTTCACTGCTCCACTCGCACATGAAAGTTACTAAGTCCGGCCCAACGCGATCCTATGCATCCACGCGTTCCGCGCTACTGGCGTTTCCGCGCTAATGGCGTTTCCGCGCTACTGGCGTTTCCGCGCTACTGGCGTTTCCGCGCTGCTGGCGTTTCTGCGCTGCTGGCGTTTCCGCGCCACTGGCGTTTCCGCGCCACTGGCGTTTCCGCGCTGCTGGCGTTTCCGCGATGCTGGCGTTTCCGCGCTGCTGGCGTTTCCGCGCTACTGGCGGGCAGTCACCTTGCTGCCAGCATCAACGCACCGTGATGTGCTGTAACGAAGATAAGTACCCTCTCGCCCTTGGCGTTCCAGTCACTCAGCATGCATGCGCCCCTCCCTACGCTGCCACGAACGTCTTTCGCTGCACGCCTGCTCACCACCACACTCAAGGGCTCCCCCCAATGCTCAACAGGTAACCAGGTATGAGGTTCGTTTAACAGGTAATTACCCCCCCGTTCCAGGTTCAAAATTTCTTCTCCTAGGTACAGGTTCGGCTCAGGTACGGTACAGACTGAGATAACCCCCTGGGTGTGGTGCGGCAGGCGTTGCTGTCGTTGGCGCTCTCTTCTCCCATGCATGTGTGCGCCTCTGCTGCCCTCCTCCTGCTTGCCGCTGCCTCCGCTCAGCACACGCAGAGCAACACTCGCACACGCAGAGCAACACCTCTGCCGCTGTTCCCTTGCCCGTCCGCGCGAGGAGAAGTCGTCGTCCGCGAAATGGTCGCACGGCTGTTTCATTCCCTTCACCTCGTTCCTCACGACCCTCCCCTCTCCTCCCTCCCCTCCCCGCCCTCCCCTCCCTTCCCTGCCAGGCGAGCCGAATGCAAGGGGACGGCAGCAGGCGAGCAGCAGGCGAGGGGAGCACCAGGGCGGGCAGCAGGAGCGCGGGCAGCGGGGCAGCAGCGCCGGCCTCATCAACGGTTGAGGTTGCAGTATCGCCCCTGCCACCACACTCCACTCGAGCCCACTCCCCCTCAGGTTCAGGTTCAGGTGCAGGTTCAGGTTGGTAGCGGCTCTTGTGGGGTTGTGGTTGGCGTCACATGCACTGTCGTTTCTGCTGTTGCACGTGTGCTTGACACTTTTCTCCCTTGCAACCCTTCTTACTTTCGGCTGCCTTGCCCTCCCTCCCCTCCCTTCCCTGCCAGTCCTTACAAGCCAGGGGGAGGGCAGCAGGCGAGCAGCAGGCGAGGGGAGCACCAGGGCGGGCAGCAGGAGCGCGGGCAGCGGGGCAGCAGCGCCGGCCTCATCAACGGTTGAGGTTGCAGTATCGCCCCTGCCACCACACTCCACTCGAGCCCACTCCCCCTCAGGTTCAGGTTCAGGTGCAGGTTCAGGTTGGTAGCGGCTCTTGTGGGGTTGTGGTTGGCGTCACATGCACTGTCGTTTCTGCTGTTGCACGTGTGTTTGACACTTTTCTCCATTGCAACCCCTCTTACTTTCGGCTGCCTTTCCTTTCCACCCTGCCCTCCATCCCTCCCATCCCTTCCCTGCCAGGCCTTCACAAGCCAGGGGGAGGGCAGCAGGCGAGCAGCAGGCGAGGGGAGCACCAGGGCGGGCAGCAAGAGCGTGGGCAGCGGGGCAGCAGCGCCGGCCTCATCAACGGTTGAGGTTGCAGTATCGCCCCTGCCACCACACTCCACTCGAGCCCACTCCCCCTCAGGTTCAGGTTCAGGTGCAGGTTCAGGTTCAGGTTGGTAGCGGCTCTTGTGGGGTTGTGGTTGGCGTCACATGCACTGTCGTTTCTGCTGTTGCACGTGTGTTTGACACTTTTCTCCATTGCAACCGCTCTTACTTTCGGCTGCCTATCCTTTCCGTCCTGCCCTCCCTGCCCTCCCTTCCCTGCCAGGACTTTACAAGCCAGGGGGAGGGCAGCAGGCGAGCAGCAGGCGAGGGGAGCACCAGGGCGGGCAGCAGGAGCGCGGGCAGCGGGGCAGCAGCGCCGGCCTCATCAACGGTTGAGGTTGCAGTATCGCCCCTGCCACCACACTCCACTCGAGCCCACTCCCCCTCAGGTTCAGGTTCAGGTGCAGGTTCAGGTGCAGGTTCAGGTTGGTAGCGGCTCTTGTGGGGTTGTGGTTGGCGTCACATGCACTGTCGTTTCTGTTGTTGCACGTGTGCTCGACACTTTTCTCCATTGCAACCCCTCTTACTTTCGGCTGCCTTTCCTTTCCGCCCTGCCCTCCCTGCCCTCCCTTCCCTCTCATCCCTTCCCTGCCAGGCCTTCACAAGCCAGGGGGAGGGCAGCAGGCGAGCAGCAGGCGAGGGGAGCACCAGGGCGGGCAGCAGGAGCGCGGGCAGCGGGGCAGCAGCGCCGGCCTCATCAACGGTTGAGGTTGCAGTATCGCCCCTGCCACCACACTCCACTCGAGCCCACTCCCCCTCAGGTTCAGGTTCAGGTGCAGGTTCAGGTTGGTAGCGGCTCTTGTGGGGTTGTGGTTGGCGTCACATGCACTGTCGTTTCTGTTGTTGCACGTGTGCTCGACACTTTTCTCCCATGCAACCCCTCTTACTTTCGGCTGCCTTTCCTTTCCGCCCTCCCTCCCCTCCCCTCCCTTCCCTGCCAGGCCTTCACAAGCCAGGGGGAGGGCAGCAGGCGAGCAGCAGGCGAGGGGAGCACCAGGGCGGGCAGCAGGAGCGCGGGCAGCGAAACAGCAGCGCCGGCCTCATCAACGGTTGAGGTTGCAGTATCGCCCCTGCCACCACACTCCACTCGAGCCCACTCCCCCTCAGGTTCAGGTTCAGGTGCAGGTTCAGGTTGGTAGCGGCTCTTGTGGGGTTGTGGTTGGCGTCACATGCACTGTCGTTTCTGCTGTTGCACGTGTGTTTGACACTTTTCTCCATTGCAACCCTTCTTACTTTTGGCTGCCTTTCCTTTCCGCTCTGCCCTCCCTCCCATCCCTTCCCTGCCAGGCCTTCACAAGCCAGGGGGAGGGCAGCAGGCGAGGGGAGCACCAGGGCGGGCAGCAGGAGGGCGGGCAGCAGGAGCGCGGGCAGCGGGGCAGCAGCGCCGGCCTCATCAACGGTTGAGGTTGCAGTATCGCCCCTGCCTCCACTCTCCACTCGAGCCCACTCCCCCTCAGGTTCAGGTTCAGGTTCAGGTGCAGGTTCAGGTTGGTAGCGGCTCTTGTGGGGTTGTGGTTGGCATCACATGCACCGTCTTTTTTGCACTCACACTGCTGCCAGAGTCTTCTCGTTTAAAAGAGTCACTCCCTCCCACCTGCCTCTTACTAGCTCTCTATCTCTCTCTCCCTTCTCCCTTCTCTGCCTCGCAGGTCCGTCCCTTCAAGCCCCGCTCGCCCTGCCCACTCTCCATTGAAGCACCCCCTCCGCCTGCACCACACAATCAGCTAAGTACCTGTCCTCCCATGCCCGCACCCTTGCCTGCCATTCCATTTCTTTCGTTTCATCTGCTGTTGCTCCGTCTTCTTGAAACAACGCCACTGGTTGAGTACTGCTCACATGTTACAGGTCCCCCTGCTTCAGGAAATTCTCTCAGGTAACCCCTTCAGGTGCAGGTACACTTCTCAGGTTTTTTTTCAGGTGCCCTTGGGTCTGCAGCTTGTGGCCGTGCCTCAACCAGTGGCTCCTCCTCCCTTCCCTTGCGCTGGATTTCAAGTCACAGTTTCCCCTTCAACTTGCGCTCTGACTAGCTCTGTGTGTGCGCATTGCAGGTGGCGGGGAGGGGTGTGGGGTCAACACCGACGCTCCCTCACGCCCCTCCCCTGTGGCCGTGCAGGGGCTCACACAAGAAGGCTGGGAGGAGGGCTGCCTTTGGAGGGAGGCAGCTGGTGGTGCTGCAGCTGCCTTGAGCTCGCCCTCACGCCACCAGCTAAGTAACCCTCCTCCATGCTCTCACCTTCTTTGCATGTCATTTCGTTTGCTGCTTGTACGCTCTTCCCTTTGAAACAATGCCACTGGTCCAGCGCGGTTCACATGCCACAGACCCCCACTATTCAGGTATCTCCTCAGGTGCAGGTAACCCTCTCAGGTGCAGGTCCCCCCCTCAGGTGCAGGTTCCCTTGGCGTCTGTGGCGTGTGGCCTTGCCTCAACCAGTGGCCCTCTTTCACATTTGACAGTTTCCGGTCTCTGGCTTGTGTTGTGCCCATGCCATGCATACTGACCACTGCCGTGTGTGTGCATTGCAGGTGGAGGGGAGGGGCTTGTGGGTCAACACCGACGCTTCCCCACGCCCCTCCCCTGTGGCCGTGCAGGGACTCGTGGGGACGGGAGGGAGGCAGCACTGCAGCATGGCAATCCCACTGCAGCAAGGGAGAGTATCGGGATGGGCTTGGCCTCTCAAGGTAAGCCTCTTACCTCTCTTTGCCGCTGCACTGGTTTTCTGCTAACTTGCCCTCGCGCTCATCCCTTTGATTCGCCCTTGCCTGTTTCAAGGACTGCACTCACTCCCCTCCTGGCCTTCCCTTCCGTTCTGCCCCCCTCCAGGTCACTTGCAATGCAGCAGAGGCAGCTGACGGGACCAGTTGTGGCAGCATCAGCAGCGGGGAGCACTGATGCAGCAGTGGAGGGGAGGGAGGGGGAAGGCGGCATCTCCAGGGAGGCGCCTCTTCAGCTGCCAGCTAAGTGCTTTCGCCTCCCTGGACTCACTCTTGCCTGCTGCTCACTGCTCGTGCTGAATTACTCTTGTCGTTTTCGCACGGGCTTCTGTGTTTTCTCCCTCAATACTCGCCACTGGTTGGGCCCGGTTCACATGCTACACACCTCCACTCTTCAGGTATCCCCCTCAGGTGCAGGTAACCCTCTCAGGTGCAGGTACACCCCTCAGGTTCCTTTTCAGGTGCTCTTGGGTCTGTAGCTTGTGGCTGTGCCTCCACCAGTGGCTCTCCTTCCATTCTCTTGCGCTGGATTTCAAGTCACAGTTTCCCATTCAACTTGCTCCCACCACTGCGCTCTGACTAGCTCTGTGTGTGCGCATTGCAGGTGGCGGGGAGGGGTGTGGGGTCAACACCGACGCTCCCTCACGCCCCTCCCCAACAGCAGCTGCTCTCCAACCAACCCACCCACAGCTAAGTATCCGCCCTCACTTTCTCCTCCCAATCTCTCTCGTGTTCGTTTGCTTTCCACGTTCATCCTTGCTGCATCTCCTGTTTTCTTGTCTCTTCAAATGCAAGCCTCTTGTTGAGCCAAAGCATCAAGCCACAGACCCCTTTTCTTGGGTAAATCCCCCCAGGTATTACAGGTATACTCTCAGGTCTGCAGGTAAGCCTCCCAGGTGTGTACCCCCCTTGGGTCTGTGGCTTGTAGCTGAGGCTGCACCAGTGGCCCCCTTCTCTGCTTTCACCTGCCATCCCACCCCACCCCACCCATGCACTCCTCTCACATTTCTACCCTAGCCGCATACTCACTTCTCTTCAGTTCTCTCCTTTCCGTTGAGGGAGGGGCATGGGGGTCAACACCGCCGCTCCCTCGCGCTCCTCCCCTGTGGCCGTGCAGGTGGCAGTGGTGGGAGGGGAGGGGGGCAGCACTCCACTCGGCTGGGGTGGGAAGGGAGAGTATCGGGCTGGGTTGTCTGAAACAAGGTGAGCCTCTTTTCCCTCTTGCCTGTTTCGGCAGCCTTGTTTCTCCAGCTGCTTGTTTACTTACTTGCTCCCTCCTTGCTTTCACGCTTCTGCCTGCTTTTCTCCCCATTCTCACTACTGTCCCTTGCTCCCTTGCCTTCCTCCCTCTCCCTTCCCTCCCAGTGCATTGAAGGCTGTAGCAGGGCAGCAAGGGGGCAGCAACAGGGCAGTAGCAGAGGGGATGGGAAGGGCAGCGGCAGCAGCAGGGGAAGCAGAGTAGCATACCGACAGCAGCAGTAGCAGCAGCAGAAGCGGCAGCAGCAGCAGTAGGGGCTGGAGGGCAGGCTAGGTTAGATTTAGCTGAGGTATAGTACCAGGTGGTATGGTAACAGGTGAGGTGTGGTAACAGGTGAGGTATGGTAAGCTGATCCCCTCCTCGCTCTCACTCCCTGTTCTCCCGTGCAGGCTGAAGGTGGGAGCGGTGTCGCAAGGGCAGGAGAGTGGAGTCCACCCTCTCACTCACCTCCTCCTCTCTCCCTTTTCCCTTCCCTCCCAGCAGCACCCTGCCGGGACCACAGTGGTGGATCACAGTGGAGTTCGGCCCTCCCCTAATCCCCCTCCCCCCTTCTCTCTCCACTTCCCAGCAGCCTGGGGCATCATGGCGCTCTGCATGGCTCTGGTAAGTGGAGGTAAGTAGAGGTAAGGAGGCATGGGGGTGGAGTATGGGGTGGGAGGGAGCATGGGAGCAAGCGGGGAGTTCACTGCCTTAGGGGCAACACCCTCTGCGGTTGTGCCTTGTGTTGGTGGGGTGTGGTGGGTGGAATCTGCGCGGCACGGCACTCGGTGCTCAAGTAACCGAACTGGCGTTTAAGGCTTAATGGACACCGTCAGAGCCGACCGGCCGGCGGCTCTGGTTCGCGTCAGCTCTAGCCACGTCAGGGGTGGGATTTGAGTCTTGGGCTGGAAGCAATTTTCCACTACCACACCTCTCCCCACAAGGCACTGCCTCTGGGGGTGTTGTTTCCTGAAGGAAGTGGGCTGTCTGCTGCTCCTACTGCTGGCAGGTGAGTGTGGGGATGGGCTGGGTGGGTGAGTGAGAGAGAAAGAGGCCAGAAACCCCTTGGGTGGTGAGTGGGGCCTGAAACCCCTTGGGTGGTGAGTGGGGCCTGAATCCCCTTGGGTGGTCAGTGGGGCCTGAATCCCCTTGGGTGGTGAGTGGGGCCTGAAACCCCTTGGGTGGTGAGTGGGGCCTGAAACCCCTTGGGTGGTGAGTGGGGCCTGAGTGGGCCTGAGTGGGGCTTTCGGCTGCTCCTACTGCTGGCAGGTGAAGGTGGGGATGGGCTGGGTGGGTGGGTGAGAGAGAAGGGGCCTGAAAACCCTTGGGTTCGGTGGGTGTGAGGGAAGGGGACTGAATCCCCTTGGTTTCGGTGGGTGAGAGGGAAGGGGACTGAAACCCCTTGGTTTCGGTGGGTGAGAGGGAAGGGGACTGAAACCCCTTGGGTTCGGTGGGTGAGAGGGAAGGGGACTGAAACCCCTTGGGTTCGGTGGGTGAGAGGGAAGGGGACTGAAACCCCTTGGGTTCGGTGGGTGAGAGGGAAGGGGACTGAAACCCCTTGGTTTCGGTGGGTGAGAGGGAAGGGGACTGAAACCCCTTGGTTTCGGTGGGTGAGAGGGAAGGGGACTGAAACCATTGGGTCGGGTGGGTGAGAAGGAAGGGGTGAATCCCCTTGGGTGGGATGGGTGAGAAGGAAGGGGTGAATTCTCCTTGGGTGGGATGGGTGAGAAGGAAGGGGTGAATCCCCTTGGAAGGGATGGGTGAGAAGGAAGGGGTGAATCCCCTTGGAAGGGATGGGTGAGAAGGAAGGGGTGAATCCCCTTGGAAGGGATGGGTGAGAAGGAAGGGGTGAATCACCTTGAGTAAGTGAGTGATGGGGAGAACCCCTTGGGTGGGTGAGTGAGTGGGAGAGGGGGATGTATGGGTGGGTGGGTGAATGTGAGAGGGGGATGGGAGTTGAAACCCCTTGGGTGGGTGGGTGAATGGGAGAGGGGGGTGGGGGTTGAAACCCCTTGGGTGGATGGGCGAATGGGAGAGGGGGATGGGGGTTGAAACCCCTTGGGTGGGTGGGTGAATGGGAGAGGGGGATGGGGGTTGAAACCCCTTGGGTGGGTGGGTGAATGGAAGAGGGGGATGGGGGTTGAAACCCCTTGGGTGGGTGGGTGAATGGGAGATGGGGATGGGGGTTGAAACCCCTTGGGTGGGTGGGTGAATGGGAGAGGGGGATGGGGGTTGAAACCCCTTGGGTGGGTGGGTGAATGGGAGAGGGGGATGGGGATTGAAACCCCTTGGGTGGGTGGGTGAATGGGAGAGGGGGATGGGGGTTGAAACCCCTTGGGTGGGTGGGTGAATGGGAGAGGGGGATGGGGGTTGAAACCCCTTGGGTGGGTGGGTGAATGGGAGAGGGGGATGGGGGTTGAAACCCCTTGGGTGGGTGGGTGAATGGGAGATGGGGATGGGGGTTGAAACCCCTTGGGTAGGTGGGTGAATGGGAGAGGGGGATGGGGGTTGAAACCCCTTGGGTGGGTGGGTGAATGGGAGAGGGGGATGGGGGTTGAAACCCCTTGGGTGGGTGGGTGAATGGGAGAGGGGGATGGGGGTTGAAACCCTTTGGGTGGGTGGGTGAATGGGAGACGGGGATGGGGGTTGAAACCCGTGAGGTGGGCGTGTGAGTGGGAGAGGGAGGGGGGAGTTGAAACTCTTATGGTGGGTGGCTGATGGGGGCGGAAATCCCAAGGGTGAGTGGCTGATTGGGAGAGATGGATGGGGACTGAAACCACTAGGATGGGTGGGCGAAAGGGAGAGATGGATTGGGGCTGAAACCCCTAAGGTGGATGAGTGAGTCGGAGAATGGGGGCTGGTACCCCTGTTGTGGGTGAGTGAGTGTGAGGGAGGGAAGCAAAGCTTCTTCTTCTGACGAAGGAACAATGCCTCGCCTCCGGTGCTTTTCTTGCGAAGCAAGCGAAACCACCCCTATGAGCAGAGCAAGCTTTGCTTGTGGGGGTTGAAATTCCTTAAGCGGGTGGATGAGTGGGAGAGAGGGAGGAAGAGCTGGGGGTTGAAATCCCTAAGGGGATTGGAAGTGTGAAAATGGGGCTGAATGGGGGAAAGTGAAAGTCCAGGGCGGAAACGCTTGTGGTGGGTGAGTGGTGAGTGCATCAGTTGGATGGGGTTTGTAACGACTTGTGAGGCGCCTCAAAAGGGATAAAATGCCTGGGTGGGTGGCTGGAAGAAAGATTTGGGGCCTGGAACCTCTAAGGTGGTTGAGTGGGTGAGGTTGGTGGCTGATTTTTCCAAGGTGGGAGACTGTAAGAGGGATGGTGCCTGAAGAATGGAAGGCAGGGTTGGGAAATGAGAACCTTGATTGGGTGATGCTTTTTTGTCAAGGTACAGAAGTGGGTTGGAATGGGAAGCCCATGTTGGGGTAAGCAAGGGACAGGGTTAACCCACTTGTCTGCTGTTTGCTCATGGCTTGCCTTGGAATTTCCAGGCACCTTCCTGGTGGCATGACTGTGTCGAAGGGTGATCGGAACAAGTGTCACGCCAGGCGCTCATGCCACTTGGCAACCGAAGTATGGGTGCCACTGCTTGCATCATTAGATCAAACAGATGGGTAAACAGGGGTGTGTTATCGCCTTTAACGAAGCGTGTGATATATTTCAGTTATAAGCTTGCTAGAGCTACCGCAATTTCCATAATTTCTTGACGTTGATGGATTGGCAAGGATAATATGTTGTACCAGTGCATTCCAAGAGAAATGGCAAAAAAATGATTTTATAACCGAACTAGCCAGAGAGTATGGACTTCATTTTTAGAAAGAGAAAGGAAAGGGCATACTGTAATTTTAGAGAGTCTTTTTTGCTTTGTACGGGCAATCACCAGTCAATTTTCGACCATATGAGTATCAAGTACACACAGTTCAATATCGCGATTATGCGATCTTTCAGCCCGGCTAGGATTCGACCAAACCCAGAATCATGAGCCTTTCAAAACCCTAGTGCCATACTTTCCATTCTCCTCTTTCGCCCTTGGCTTACTGAGCCGCGTGTTTTCCTCATCTCGGGTTCGTGTTCCTGCTACCGCTGCGCGTGCTCCAGCTCGTAAACCGTAGCGCCTCCTCTAGCCGCGCACCATGCTTAAGAAGAAGAGAGTAAGTGGACGGTCAAGCAGATTCTTTGCTGCGTGTCGCCCCGGAGTCGTGTTAGTGCCGTCAAAGAATCATCTCCATCGCTGGGGTCACGTGGGTCACGTGGGTCACGTAGGTCACGTGGGTCACGTGGTTCTCGTCTCCATTGCTTTTAAATACCTCGCGTAACCGCTTTTGAGCGAGCTCTATAGTTTTCGTCTCGTCGTGCTAATCGTCTTCTCTAATGGGTTGTCCGCGGAGCAGGGGAAGGAGGGCAATGCGGCCAAGTACACAACGCGCAACCAGGCGCTCGTGCGCCTGCAGCTCAAACTAGCCGACTTCAGGTGCGTCGGGGTTTGATTCTGGAGAGAATCCAGGTTACTTCATAGTCGAATCTCAAGAATAGGCATCGCTCGTGCGGTTGCAGCGCAAGCTAGCTGACTTTAAGTGCGTCGGGGTTTAGCCGTCGTGAGAAGGTTCTTTCCGAGTCGGACGCAAAAGTTATGCTTAAGGGCAACTCAGATAGTGGCCGTGCCCTCGCAGCTGATATTAGCGTTTATTCGTCCCCTTTCCCGTCCACTTTTCCGTCCTCTTTCCCTGTCGCCCCGCGCCCCGGGCAGGCGGCTGTGCATTCTGAAGGGCATTCACCCGCGCGAGCCGAAGAAGAAGACCAAGGGCGCGCACAAGACGTATTACCATGTCAAGGACATCAACTTCCTCGCACACGAGCCGCTCTTGGAGCTCCAAAGGTGGGTTGCTTCGTTATTCATTTCACGGGTCAGTAGCGGTCGCCGCTGGTCAAGGGCGCGCACAAGACGTACTACCATGTCAAGGACATCAACTTCCTCGCGCACGAGCCGCTGCTCGAGCTCCAAAGGTCAGCACCATGCCGCTTTTTGAAGTTGATTTTGCGTATCTTGCCTCTGTTTGGTACTTCTCCTCTGGAGACGGAGAAGGTGGAGCGGCTGGAACGGCTGGAACGATATGTGTAGGACTCTCAAGATTCCCCCCTAACCACGCCCAATTTTAACCCGCCCCCCATCTCAACCCGTCCTTCAACTCGCGGTCACGCGCAGGGAGATGCGCGCGCAGAGGAAGAAGATCCGCAAGGCGAAGGGACGGCTGGAGACGGACAAGGTGGAGCGGCTGGAGCGATGCTTGGTAGGCCTCTCATTACATCCCACAATCCGTGCCCCATCTCAACCCATCTCCCATTTCAACACGTGTCCCATCTCGTGACCGTCCCCTTAGGGAGATGCGCGCGCAGAGGAAGAAGATCCGCAAGGCGAAGGGGCGCCTGGAAACGGAGAAGGTGGAGCGACTTGAGCGCAGCCTGCCACGTGTGTCACTGGATCACCTCGTCAGGAGAGGTGCGAACGTGTGGCGAGTGACTGTAGCGAGGGTGACTAGCGAGGGTGACTATAGCGAGAGTGACTAATTAGAAGGTGCGTGGTGCTGCCAGTTCGAAACTCATCGTGTGGTACCTCGTTGCCACGCTGTCATTCACTCTTCCGTTCTCTCTCCGGCCTCTTCTCTCCCGTCTCCTCTTTCTCCTGAACCCACCCAGGTACCCATCGTTCATCGATGCGATCAGGGATCTGGACGACGCGCTCACCATGCTGCACCTCTCTCTCTCTCCCGCTCCCCCCTCTCCTCCGCCCCTCTCCTCCACGCAGGTACCCATCATTCATTGACGCGATCAGGGACCTAGACGATGCATTGACCATGCTGCACCTCTTCGCCACGCTTCCCGCCGATGCCACCTTCCGCATCCCCGCCACCCGCGTCAACAACGCGCGCAGGTGAAGAAGGGTTTGTTGGGGTTGGGGAGCGGGAAGGGGGAAAGAGAGTGTCTTGGCTGCCTGCCGATGCCACCTTCCGCATCCCCGCCACTCGCGTCAACAACGCGCGCAGGTGAGGCAACAGGAGTGTGGGGGGAAGGGGGATGAGGCGACAAATAGGGCTGGAGGGGAGGAGGGAGATGGGGAGAGAGAGATTCCTTTGAAGCTGCCTGCTGAACGCTTCAACAACGCCCGCCTGGTGAGGCACCAGGAGGGAGGGGGAGGGATTAGGGGAGTGGAGGGCTGGGGGGAGGAGATGGAAGGAACGGGAGGAGTTCTTTTCAGGCTTCAATGCTGCCCGCCAACGCACCTGTCACGCCCCGCTAACACCTGACAACATTACACTCAGTGCTGGGAGGAAAAGGGCGGTGAGGAGTTTCGGGGGTGGGGTGGAAGATGAAGGTTTTGGCGGGGGAGAGGAGGGGTTTTGGGGGAAGGGAGCGGAGAGCGGAGGGGGAGGGGGAGGGGAGAGAAAGAGAGAGAATGCCGTTCGATTTTCCACGATGCCCTCTTACCCCCACCACCCATCGACAGGCTGTCGCTGAAGTGTTTTGAGACGTCTCAAAACACTTCTTCAAACACGATGCCCTCTTACCCCACACCCTCACATCGACAGGCTGTCTTTAGAGTGGCAGGCATACATCACACGCACGCACGCCCTGCGCAAGGTGTTTGTGTCGGTGTGGCGGTACTAGGCAGGCGCTACTACAGGTGGGGGGGGCAGCTGCCTGTGCTCACACCCCATACTACCCCGTCCCACTGAGTGCCTATTGCCCTAACCCATACCCACACACGCCTCTCTCTGGAGACTGGCAGGCTCATCACGCGCACACACGCGCTGCGCAGGTGTTTGTGTCTGTCAGGGCATCTACTACCAGGCGCAGGCCGTGGGGCAGCCACCTACCTATGCCATACACCGTACCCCAAATCCCATCCCCCATATCCCCACCCCCCTCCAGAATCCAGTGGCAGGCATACATAACCGGACTCACGCGCTCAAGGTGTTTTGTCGGTCAAGGGCATCTACTACCAGGCGCACGTGGTGGGTGGGGGGCAGCTACCTGTGCTCACACCTCACGCACGCTGCCATCTAACCCTCTGTCTACTCTACCACCAGGCGCAGGTCGGGGGGCAGCCACCGCTACCCCATACACCATACCCACCCCGCTACAGCCCAATCCCTGCTGCACACCAACCTCTACTACCAGGCGCAGGTCGTGGGGCAGCCACGCTACCTATGCCATACCATATACCATACCCCGCCGCCCTGCACCCCTGCAGGCTGTCCCTCGAATGGCAGGCGTACATAACACGCACTCACGCCCTGCGCAAGGTGTTTGTGTCCGTTAAAGGCATCTACTACCAGGCGCAGGTGGTGGGGCAGGCGGTGACGTGGCTGGTGCCACATCAGCTCATGCAGGTCATGCCCACTGACGTGGACTTCCGAGTGATGCTCACCTTCCTGGAGTTTTATGAGGTCAGTTGGGGGAGTGGGTAAGGGAAGGATATGTGGGCTCGGGGGGAGGTGCGGGCCGCGGCAGGGTTGGGTTGCTTGCACCACTCATCAGCATCAGCTCATGCAGGTCATGCCCACTGACGTGGACTTCCGCGTCATGCGCACATTCCTGGAGTTCTATGAGGTCAGTAAAGTGGTGGTTGGGAGCGGTGTGGGGTGGTGTGTGCTTTGAAGAAAAGGGGGGTGAGTTGTACGGGAGCATCAGCTCATGCAGGTCATGCCCACTGACGTGGACTTCCGCGTCATGCGCACATTCCTTGAGTTCTACGAGGTTAGTTGGAAGGGGTGGTTGGTTTGGGGCGGGTGGGGTAGGGGGGTGGGGTGGTCTGGGTTTGGGGAAAGGGTGAGTTGAGTGCAGGGGAGCATCAGCTCATGCAGGGCAGGTCATGCCCACTCACGGATTCTACGAGGTCAGTTGGGGGGGGAGGAGGCTGGTGTTGGTGTGTGCTGAGTTGGGTCGTGGAGTGGGTTGGAAACGGGTGGTTGGCATGGGGCAGGGAGAGGCGTGGTCTATGCTTCATTAGGAGAGTACCTACCAGTTTACTCCATACCCTCTGCCCTCTTCCCCCTCCCGTGTCAGACCCTAATGGGCTTTGTCAACTTCAAGCTGTACCACGAGCTGCGTCTCGCCTACCCTCCTCGCCTCGACCCGCGTCTCGAGAAGGCTGCTGCAGGTGCGCATTCCTCCCCTTGCTCCCACTCCACTCCACTCCACTCCACTCCACTCCACTCCACCCCATTCCACTCCACTCCACTCCACCCCACTCCACCCCACTCTGCCCATGAATTTCCTTCCCACCCCAGTCCGACCGTCGCATTGCTCGCCTACCCTCCTCGCCTCGACTCGCGCCTTGAGAAGGCTGCAGCAGGTGCTCTCCCTTCCATTCCTCCTGCAGTGATGCGCAGGCTGGCAGAGGCAGCAGCAGGCCACACCGCTCTGCCTTTAAGACTGGTGCTTGTGCTACATGCAAACCCAGAATTCAACACCCTTTTCCGCCCACGTCCTTCGTTGGCCCATCCCATCAGACCTGTGTGCAGTGATGCGCAAGCTGGCAGAGGCAGCTGCAGCAGGCCACAATGCGTGGTGCTTGTGCCACATGCAAACCCAGAACTTAACATCCTTTTCCTCCCTTTGCTTCCCTCTCCCTCCACCTCCCTTCCAATCCCATCAGACCTGTATGCTGTGATGCGCAAGCTGGCAGAGGCGGCAGCAGCAGCGAGGCAGAAGCGAGAGAGGAAGGCCATTAAGGCAGCTGCAGCTGCTTCGGCCGCTGCTCTTGGCGCCGCTCCTGCTGATGCTGATGCTGATACTGCTACTGTTACTGATCTTCCTGGTGATGCTCCCACCCCCCAACCCCCAACCCTTCCCAATCCATCAGACCTGTATGCAGTGATGCGCAAACTGGCAGAGGCGGCAGCAGCAGCGAGGCAGAAGCGAGAGAGGAAGGCCATCAAGGCAGCCGCTGCCGCTACTGCCGCTGCTCTTGGCGCTGCTCCTGCTGACGCTGCTGCTGCTGCTGCTGCTGGTGATGATGCTGATGCGTTGCAAGAGAGGGCTGAGAAAAGCACAGATGAAGGAGGAGAGGAGGGAAAGGCAGAGGCAGGGGCAGAAGGGGGTGCTGCTGCTGCAGAACCAGCAAAACCAGCAGCAGGAGAAGGAGAGGGTGCAGCAGCGGCAGCAGCAGCAGAACCCCCAGTGGATCCAGAGAAGGAAGCATCGGAGAAGCTTCCCGCACTGCGCAAGCAAGCAACAGCATCACGAATGGCGTCCCTTCAAAGCCGACTGGCAGCCATGGCAGCCGCAGCAGAGGACAACCCCGATGAGGAGGAGAAAGCAGAAGGCGGTGCGGGGAGAAAAGGCACGGGTGGAGCAGAGGCAGAGGAGGAGGAGGAAGGGGATGAGGATGATGAGGAGACGAGGGCGTGTCGGCGGTTGTTCAAAGGACTCGTGTTCTTCCTCGGAAGGGAGGTGCCCCGGGAGCCGCTGCTGTTTGTGATTCGGGCTTTTGGAGGCAGGGCGAGTTGGGAGGGCGAGGGTGCACCCGCTCCTGAGACAGATGAAGCCATCACTCATCAGGTGAGCAGCCCCTGAGTACTTGCTTCACATCACAGCTGCTGCTGTCTCCTTTGTCACCTCCTTCCAAAACTCCCACTTCCCTCCTCTCTCTTCTCCTCCCTCCTCCTCCTCCTCCCCCCACCGCACCACCCCATCAGGTTGTGGACCGACCGCAGCAGAAGCATTGCAATCTCTTCAGGGAAAACGTGCAGCCGCAGTGGGTGTTTGGCTTCTGCTCATTTCATTTCCTCTCCCTCCTCCCTCCCCCCACCAAACCATGCCATCAGGTGGTGGATCGGCCGCAGCAGAAGCACTGCAATCTCTCGCGGGAATACGTGCAGCCGCAGTGGGTGTTTGGCTGCCACTCAAATTATCCCCTCTCCTTTCTCCCTCCCCCTCCTTTTCCCATCCCATCTCCCCCTTGCTCCCTCTGTTCTCCCCACCGCACCACCCCATCAGGTGGTGGATCGGCCGCAGCAGAAGCACCGCATTCTCTCCCGGGAATACGTGCAGCCGCAGTGGGTGTTCGACTGCGCCAATGCACGCATCCTCCTGCCCTCCGCGCCCTACGCCCCCGGCCTGTGAGTGTGCCCTCTCCGTCCCCTTCACCCCCCTCCCCTGTCTCCTGCCCTTGTGCCGCTGTCCTAAAAGTTTGCCTTACTGTCTCAGTGTGTCGCCGCCTGTTTTTGAGTCAACTCAAAAGTCGCTTCCTGTCACGGTGTGTCTCCGCCTGAATGCGTTGAGGCATCTCGAGGTACGTCCCTGCTGCTTCCTTTCTGTGTGCCCAGAAATATCCCCTCCCCACCCCATCTGCTCCACTTTCCTCCACTCCACGGGCACTCCTATAAAATTCTGTACCTGCCCCTTCCTCCACTCCCCCACTTCCCTCCGCTCTTGTCCCCCTTCCCCACCAACCCCCCACCAACCCCTAACACCTTGCCGTGTATCCTCTGATTCCCACGAGCACCATGCCATCGCCCCACCTGTTCCCTTTTGCCTCTTCAAGGAGGGCGGCCCTTTTTCCCCACCTGTGTCCGACCAGGCCCCTGTGACTCTTCACTTGCTCCAGTTCACAAGCATGTCTGAAGCGTGCTAAGTATTCCCTTCCCCATTCCGCGTTCCCCCCCTTCTTCAACCCCTCGAGCAGTGTACCACCGCCGCACCTCTCCCCATTCGTGAACCACGTATGGCTGTTAACTTAGCTCACGCACGTATCCCCTCCTTCCCCCCTCGCCCCACCACCCCTCAACTCCACGAGCAGCGTCCCCCCGCCGCATCTTTCCCCCTTTGTGAATCACGAGGAGGAGGGCTATCTGCCCGACTATGCCCATGTGACTCGCCACTCACTCCATCCCACTCTCTTCCCCCCTCCCCTCCCTCTCCCCCCAGTGTGCCCTCTCCGTCCCACCTCTCCCCATTCGTGAACCACGAGGAGGAGGGCTACCTACCCGATTATGCCGCGGCGATCCAACGGCTGAAAGAAGCCGCAGCGGCGCGAGATGCTGCAGCACACAAGGGAGCGGGAGGGGGGATGCTGGGCATGGGGGGAGGGGGGGCGCTGATGGAACTGGAGGGTGCTCATGAAGTGAGGATGAGTGGCGAGGGCAGTGTGGCGGTGGGGGGAGGGGAGGACGAGGTGAAAGCTGAAGAGGCTGCGCTGGCTGCCAAGATTGCAGAGGTGAGTTGGCAACACTGCTTTCTGTCAGGTTCTTTGTGTTAATCTCTTTCAGTTGTGTTTGACGTTTTGAAGTTGTGTTTCTGCTGTTTGGCTGTCTCACATCCTCTCACCTTTGAGGGGGGGGGGCTCTGATGCGCCTCCTTGGTTTGCGAGTTTGGCCTTCCACCGTGTGTTACAACGTATATGGCGTTACGTGATTGTGCTTCGCGTGGTAACCAGGTTGCGGCAGAAGAGAAGGCGTACGCTGCTGATCTGGCCAAAGAGCTTTCGGGCATCCCGTTCTCCTCCTCACTGGTCCAAGGGAAGGCGAGCAAGGACGGGGAGGAGGGTGAGGAGGGAGATGAGGGCGATAACACAGTGGAAGGAGAAGAGGAGGGCGAAGGAGGTGAGGCAGATGAGGAGGAAGATGAGGACGAGGAAGGGGAGGGTGAGGAGGAGGAGAGGCAAGGAGCAGCAGCAGCGGTGGCAGCAGCGGCGGAGGAGAATGAGGAGGACGGGGGCAAGGCAGCAGCGCGCATGCTGATGAGTCGCAAGAGGCGGGGCCTGTATGATGCCATGCAGATGGGGCGAGCCAAGAAGGCTGCAGGTGTTGCTCTCCTGCACGAGCGCCGCCGCCGCTGCTGCTGCTGCCGCTGCTAAGAGTGCTGGTGGTTGTGGTGCGAAGGGTGGTGGTGATGGTGGTAAGAAGGGAGGGCAGCAGGGGAAGAAAGCGAAGCAGGAGAAGAAAAGCTGGCGATAAGAGAAGTGGGTTTCTGTTGCTCCTATGAACAATATGGAGGCCCCTCTTGTTTGTTGGTGGACCATTTTCGTTACCACTGTAATGATGAATTTGATCTCGCAAGATTTATTTTCTGATTGCGTAACCGAAGAGGTGCCTGGTTTGTGAGAAAAATCTAGCGTAAGGGTTGAGGGATGCGGACCAACATTTACCATAAGGGACATGGAGCAAGGCGAAGTATGGTATGGTTTGTGAATGGCATTGCATTTGTGTGGCACACTGCTGCTCACTTTCTATGCTGCCCATTATAACATATCTGTACACAAGTCAAGCCGGCAAACACTCCCCGCATACGGTATCAAGTTTGTTGTTGTGAGCTTGCCTAGCGTAGCCACCACAGCACAGCTTGGCAGCGCAATACACCGCACCGCGCCGCACTGCACAGCAGCACATGTAGCATGTTTGCCAAGCATCACAAATCTGCAATGAGTTTGGCTATTCTGTCGCGGCGTCTTTTGCGCTCCTCCTCCCCATCCAGGTCTCCAATGTTATCGCTATACTCCTGATGATGGCGCGCGCACACACACACAGAGGGACCGGAAGGAGAGGGGAATGGAATGAGGAAATGGAAGGGTGGAAGAAGAGACATGAGAAATCTGCCTCCTCCCCATCTAGGTCTCCAATCCAATGTTGTTGCTATACTCCTGATCATGTGGAGTGCACACACGCACAGTGAGGGAGGGAGGGACGGACGGACGAAATGGAAGAGTGGAAACAGACATGAGACTTCTGCAGTTGCACTATCCCCCTCACCTGCACTATCCCCCTCACCTGCACTATCCCCCTCACCTGCACTATCCCCCTCACCTGCACTACCCCCTTCACCTGCACTATCCCCCTCACCTGCAGAATGGCCTTCACATGGTCTCTTGAAAGCCTCTGCTGTCGCAACAGCAGGTCAATACGATGCCTCATTCCCCCATGCCTGGCAGCATGGGAGAAAAGATGCGAGACACAGAGTGGTGATGAGTTAGAGATGTCAATTCGGAGCCTCATTCCCCCATGCCTGGCAGCATGTGAGAAAAGATGCGAGACATAGAGTGGTGATGAGTTAGAGATGTCAATTCGGAGCCTCATTCCCTGGCAGCATGTGAGAAAAGATGCGAGACATAGAGTGGTGATGCGTTAGAGATGTCAATTCGGAGCCTCATTCCCCCATGCCTGGCAGCATGTGAGTGAAAACGAGCAAGATAAAATTTGAAGGATGAGAGTGGAGAGGAGTGAGAGATGGTTTGAAAAACAGAGACATTAGGCAGATGGATAAGGAAGGGGGAAATGGATGTGGTAGGGGTGTGGAATCCGGTGAGAGAGGCGGAAGCGGGGGTGGCAGGGAACAGTCAACAGGGCTGTGAGTGGTAGCTATGAAATCGATAGTGCCCATTTCTTCTCTTGCCTCATTTCTTATGACACAAGGGGAATGGCATGTGGCAAGATGCAGGTAGGTGTGCTTAGTGCTTACTCTGCAGCCCAGAGGTGTGCGAGGATGAGAGCGATGAGCTGACGAGAGCGAGATGCATCAACACCATTGCACATGCAAGAGTCAAGAGGCAACACACAGGACGGCAGGAGTGTTGGGGGGTGGAGGGGAGAGAAAGGGACACGGTAAGAGGCAGGAGAGTGGGGCAGACAGTGTCTCCAGGATAGAGACTGAGAGACAGCAGGAGAGCACTAGCTGAGAAGTGGTGTGGAGAGTAGACAAGCACGGGGCAAAGCCTACAGACAAGCGTGTGAGGAGAATGTAGGTACATTTGTGAAGGGCACACCTGGGGGGGAGGGCACACCTGGGGGGAGGGCACACCTGTGGGGAGGGCGCACCTGGGGGGAGGGCGCACCTGGGGGGAGGGCGCACCTGGGGGGAGGGCGCACCTGGGGGGAGGGCGCACCTGGGGGGAGGGCGCACCTGGGGGGAGGGCGCACCTGGGGGGAGGGCGCACCTGGGGGGAGGGCGCACCTGGGGAGGGCGCACCTGGAGTGGGGGAGGCGCACCTGCAATGTGAAGAGCCCTGCCTCCAGGCGAGCCAGATAACGATCCTCATCTGTCATCTGTGCATGTGAGAGAAGAGACAGAGAGAGAGAGACAGGGTGAGGAGGAACGACAAGACAAAGTTGGTCAAAATTCCCTCCCCTCTCCCCTCCTCGCCTCTCCCTTCCTCACCTCTCCCCTCCTCCCCCTCCCATCTTCCCCTCTCCCCGCCTGCCACAGAAACGGAAGAAAAGGGAGACTAACCTCCTCATCGTCGTCCTCCTCCCCCTGCTGCCTCAGCATCTCTCGTCTTCTCTGCTGATCCTCCTGCCGCCTCTCTTCTGCCCGCACCCGCTCCCAGTACCTGCCAGCGGGAGGAGGAGGAGGAGGGCAGTGAGGGCTGGGCAGGGGCGTGCAGATGGGGCAACAGCAGATGGCCAATCTTCTGCGTACAAACAACAGCAGATGGCCAATCTTCTGCGTACAAACAACAGCAGATGGCCAATCTTCTGCGTACAAACAACAGCAGATGGCCAATCTTCTGCGTACAAACAACAGCAGATGGCCAATCTTCTGCGTACAAACAACAGCAGATGGCCAATCTTCTGCATACAAACAACAGCAGATGGCCAATCTTCTGCGTACAAACAACAGCAGATGGCCAATCTTCTGCGTACAAACAACAGCAGATGGCCAATCTTCTGCGTACAAACAACAGCAGATGGCCAATCTTCTGCGTACAAACAACAGCAGATGGCCAATCTTCTGCATACAAACAACAGCAGATGGCCAATCTTCTGCGTACAAACAACAGCAGATGGCCAATCTTCTGCGTACAAACAACAGCAGATGGCCAATCTTCTGCGTACAAACAACAGCAGATGGCCAATCTTCTGCGTACAAACAACAGCAGATGGCCAATCTTCTGCGTACAAACAACAGCAGATGGCCAATCTTCTGCGTACAAACAACAGCAGATGGCCAATCTTCTGCGTACAAACAACAGCAGATGGCCAATCTTCTGCGTACAAACAACAGCAGATGGCCAATCTTCTGCGTACAAACAACAGCAGATGGCCAATCTTCTGCGTACAAACAACAGCAGATGGCCAATCTTCTGCGTACAAACAACAGCAGATGGCCAATCTTCTGCGTACAAACAACAGCAGATGGCCAATCTTCTGCGTACAAACAACAGCAGATGGCCAATCTTCTGCGTACAAACAACAGCAGATGGCCAATCTTCTGCGTACAAACAACAGCAGATGGCCAATCTTCTGCGTACAAACAACAGCAGATGGCCAATCTTCTGCGTACAAACAACAGCAGATGGCCAATCTTCTGCGTACAAACAACAGCAGATGGCCAATCTTCTGCGTACAAACAACAGCAGATGGCCAATCTTCTGCGTACAAACAACAGCAGATGGCCAATCTTCTGCGTACAAACAACAGCAGATGGCCAATCTTCTGCGTACAAACAACAGCAGATGGCCAATCTTCTGCGTACAAACAACAGCAGATGGCCAATCTTCTGCGTACAAACAACAGCAGATGGCCAATCTTCTGCGTACAAACAACAGCAGATGGCCAATCTTCTGCGTACAAACAACAGCAGATGGCCAATCTTCTGCGTACAAACAACAGCAGATGGCCAATCTTCTGCGTACAAACAACAGCAGATGGCCAATCTTCTGCGTACAAACAACAGCAGATGGCCAATCTTCTGCGTACAAACAACAGCAGATGGCCAATCTTCTGCGTACAAACAACAGCAGATGGCCAATCTTCTGCGTACAAACAACAGCAGATGGCCAATCTTCTGCGTACAAACAACAGCAGATGGCCAATCTTCTGCGTACAAACAACAGCAGATGGCCAATCTTCTGCGTACAAACAACAGCAGATGGCCAATCTTCTGCGTACAAACAACAGCAGATGGCCAATCTTCTGCGTACAAACAACAGCAGATGGCCAATCTTCTGCGTACAAACAACAGCAGATGGCCAATCTTCTGCGTACAAACAACAGCAGATGGCCAATCTTCTGCGTACAAACAACAGCAGATGGCCAATCTTCTGCGTACAAACAACAGCAGATGGCCAATCTTCTGCGTACAAACAACAGCAGATGGCCAATCTTCTGCGTACAAACAACAGCAGATGGCCAATCTTCTGCGTACAAACAACAGCAGATGGCCAATCTTCTGCGTACAAACAACAGCAGATGGCCAATCTTCTGCGTACAAACAACAGCAGATGGCCAATCTTCTGCGTACAAACAACAGCAGATGGCCAATCTTCTGCGTACAAACAACAGCAGATGGCCAATCTTCTGCGTACAAACAACAGCAGATGGCCAATCTTCTGCGTACAAACAACAGCAGATGGCCAATCTTCTGCGTACAAACAACAGCAGATGGCCAATCTTCTGCGTACAAACAACAGCAGATGGCCAATCTTCTGCGTACAAACAACAGCAGATGGCCAATCTTCTGCGTACAAACAACAGCAGATGGCCAATCTTCTGCGTACAAACAACAGCAGATGGCCAATCTTCTGCGTACAAACAACAGCAGATGGCCAATCTTCTGCGTACAAACAACAGCAGATGGCCAATCTTCTGCGTACAAACAACAGCAGATGGCCAATCTTCTGCGTACAAACAACAGCAGATGGCCAATCTTCTGCGTACAAACAACAGCAGATGGCCAATCTTCTGCGTACAAACAACAGCAGATGGCCAATCTTCTGCGTACAAACAACAGCAGATGGCCAATCTTCTGCGTACAAACAACAGCAGATGGCCAATCTTCTGCGTACAAACAACAGCAGATGGCCAATCTTCTGCGTACAAACAACAGCAGATGGCCAATCTTCTGCGTACAAACAACAGCAGATGGCCAATCTTCTGCGTACAAACAACAGCAGATGGCCAATCTTCTGCGTACAAACAACAGCAGATGGCCAATCTTCTGCGTACAAACAACAGCAGATGGCCAATCTTCTGCGTACAAACAACAGCAGATGGCCAATCTTCTGCGTACAAACAACAGCAGATGGCCAATCTTCTGCGTACAAACAACAGCAGATGGCCAATCTTCTGCGTACAAACAACAGCAGATGGCCAATCTTCTGCGTACAAAC